GGTTGGTTCTGTCGTCATCTGCTTGGTTTTCTTACGCGGTGGATCTTTGCGATTAGTGGCGGCGGAAGATCTGGATCTGGAAGACATTGGAATAGAATTTTTCTGAAGCAAATTCGCTAGGAAAAGAAAAGCAACTTATCAAGGAAGAAACTCCTTTTAGGGTTTCTCTGATTCCAGAGTTTTCGGACACGTTCGTTATCTTGCGCGAGGAAAATCAATAATACCTTAGCCCATGGGCCAAAAGTTATCCATGTGAATAATGGGCTTTTTGTTTAGAAATAGATAACATGGTAAAATAAATTTTACACTCACGACTAACACTTTCATTTATAGGTCCAGTTTTCGGAATTAAGAACTTATTACGAATTTCATACTAATTTTAAACTTCAAAAGTTTGATGTAAATTGTACCAAAAGTCCAAAAACATAACATGCTTATGTCTTCAAATTCCAAATCCCGTTTGGTAATGAAACAGAGGATCCTCAAATTGTTCCAGTGATAATATCTTTGTTGGTTGGCTTACATGACATGAACATAAGCCTTACCTTAAACAACAAAACTCTGTTTTTTCTTGCAACTGGGTCATTCGTTACATAAATGAGAATGTACACTGGACAAACAAGCTCTAACTCTGTATATTGCAAAAGTTAATTCTCATGAATCTAAAGAGAACAATTCCTTCTATGCAACACAAACAGAAGTGTTTTCAAATACATTTTCAAAGTCACTGTCACAAAATAAGCTAAGTCACATACAAATGAAACGGAAACACCATCAGAACAAAAACTACAATACCCGCTTATCTCAAGATTCCATCATCAAACTATGGCAGAAAGAGTTTGAGAACAAAAGGTTTTTTTATCAAAAGCGAGAATCACAAAACAAGCTTAATCAACTACAAAGCAAATGAGCGTCGATCCACTCGACCTTCAGATATTGAGAGAAACGGTATATAAAACCTTAACGGTATACGAGAGATGATCAAGTTCATAAACAAGATTGGCCCGCTCAATTTTTCCCCAAATCTCGCCTCCCGGGCTTCTCTTTAAGGAAATCTCTGCACACCAAAGCTCCAACCTCTTAGTACCAGGGATAAACACCTTGTGAGTACAAGGAAAATGCTCCTTCTCAATTCTAGGGATATACACCTTCCAGAAGACTATTATGTTCCCACGAGAGTTAGTGCTCAGTCTGCTGAAACCATCTTCGGTACAGTGGAGCTTCCACGCGCGCATTACGCTCTCAGAACAGTAGTGCCTATTTAAACCATATAAAAGCCACTGCATAGAATCCAAACCACTCACCTCCGTCCAATCCAACTTTTCTGCCTCACACCAAAGTATTTTCCCACGAGTACCACAACAGTATAACAGTTTCCCTATGGCACACCAGTCTTTTCTGTTTCCCGGCTTAGAATCCTGATTCCCTCTTCTCCATATACCTTCACGTGGCAGGTAGTAAAAGCTTTGATCCTCCTCGTCCACCGCATAAACTTTATCGTCCATCACCACACTTTTGTTGTCGATTATCGTTGTGTTCTGGCGTATCTCTGGATCATCAGGTATTGGCAAGGTATCCCAAGTTTGGGTCTTTGGGTCGAACACCTCTGCCCAGTTGGAGGAATCTACCTCCTTGCAGCCTCCAAACACGTAAATCTTCCCGTCTACCACGTTTGCCGCTGCAGAAGCGCGAGCCACTCTCATGGACAGGATACGGCGCCAGGTGTGAGAAAGACAATCAAGAAACAAGACCTCCGAAGTGGGACTTCCGTTTATGATTCCACCAATGATATAGATCCCACAATCGAGAACCACAAAAGATGATGATTCCGGAGGCTGATAAGGGTACGATGGGATCGGTCTCAGCCGCTGGTTCACATACTTCTTCGCGGCTGTAGAGTCTAGCGTCGGCCCTCCATGGCGGAGGATGAACCAACGTGGAGTTGGGTCAGGAGGAATGCTTAAGCAGACATAATAGTACTCCTCTGTTAAACCCATTAACTCACGCGTGCGGCAGAGCTCGGGCGAAATCATAAGAGTGCGGTGGCTCTTGGAGGTCAGAGACAAGGCCGCGCTGTCCAATCTCGAGAGGCGGGACAAGCAGTTCAGAGCAACATCATCTGGCAACAACAATAACCTAGACGACGGAGACATCTCCTTCTTCTTCCTCTCCATGACTCCAACTTTGCTAACGCTAAATCACAAAAGCTCTGTTTTACGACTTGTACTATACGTTATCGATATCTCCTGATGGAAAATTTACGCGACTGTTGGTTCTCTTCTCCTTGTAGATGAATATGTAGGGTTTTATGATTTGTGTACTGAAGAAGATTTAGACAAGAAGCTCTTTTATAAAGATTTTTAAGATTGTCCTAAACCTACATGGAAAAGCTATACGGTGTCGGTTAGAACTCGTACTGTACTTTTATCTTTCTAACTGGATTATGAATTCGACGGACCAAACCATAATCAATAGAAAATAAAATTATTTGAATCTAGTTAGTGTACTTGTGTTGTTTCCAGATATGTTACAAGATTTCAATTACTAAGATTTGATGATAAGAAATAAATTTGTTTCAAGGATTTCGGTCCAATGAGGTATTCCTCGAGGTTGTGACACGTATGAAGAACTTAATTGAGATACCAATCAATTTTTTTTTTGGTAAGGATTGAGATACCAATCAATTTGGTCTTGTCAGATTATTATTTTTCTTTTTAGATATTTAGATTTTGGTAAACGGTTTATAAGATGAAACATCCGAAGAAACTAAACATTTTATCTAACGTCCCGAGTTAATTAAACAGTTATCCTATTATTTTTGTTTAGAAAAAGTAAGATCGTAAATAGAAAGGAATCTATAAAATTAATACCTTCAGATTTATTACTTGGAAAAGTAAAACTAATAATAAAGAAAGAAATAATGAAAAACATACTTTAAAGCCATAGTTTTTCACTTGGATAAGTTTAGTTCTCTCTTTTCTTTTTCTTTTGTGCAAATATTCTCTATCCTCTATATATACAAAGAGTTTACATTCTGGAACTCACAATCTTAAAAAGTGAAAAAAAAAAAAAAAAAACTTAAAATGTATAAGGCAGTGTTTTGGTTAGTTACCTTGATTTTTCTCTTGTTTTCTGGATCATCAAACACAGCATTAGCCCGAATGGCATATGAAACACCAAAAACAAGTAAGGTTTCAATTCTGAGAAATTATATCGATTTTTTTTACAGAGCCTTGAAACGATACATTGTTGGGAGGTTACAGCTATTATAGTATATATAGAGATCAAATTGAAGCAAATATATTTCTCAAACGTATTTTGTAACCTAATTGATCATTATTACATTGTTGTTTGGATATTAAAAAAAAAACAGAAGAGGGAATATGGGATGAAAAGGTGATCAGAGGGAGCAAAATTGAAACACCAGGCAGCAGTTCAAGGCGTGCACCTGACCCACCAACAAACCCCAAACCCTAGAGACGAACGATCATATTTAAAGCTTGTTCTTATGATGTCACCTAGCTCAGATGCGGAATAAAAACCTCACATTCACAAATTACTGTTTCTTTTGTCTCGATCGTCACATATTTTGTCTTCTCACGTATAATTCGTATGCGTTTATGTTTAGATTTGATCAAAACCAGTATCGTAAATCCCAAATCGAACCGGTCGAGCATTCTAACTTTTAGTTAACATATCAATCTCATTATTTTTATGGCAAATAAATAAAGCTGAAACTGAAATTATTTTAACCGAACAACTTAATAAACGAAAATTCATTTTGCTAGAAAATAATGAGATTGATATGTTTAATTATTGATTGATGAAAGAAAAAAGAAAATTCATTAAGATAGTTTCTCTCTAAAACGCATCTTCTTCGTTTGACCGTCTCTTACCAGACGAGAACTTGGACTATTCTTCGAAAAGAACAGATAATACATCATAAGAGTTTGGGGACGACTTCGTCAGAGAAAACTGATTCTATAAATATATCTTCTCACCAAATGAAATAAAATATCATTTTCTACGTCAAATACAGTTGACAGATACCAAAACTTTGGTTTATACACATATAATCGATTTATACATTGTAAAACTCATTATTTTAAGCAAATCCAAAATGTATCACCGCTTGGTTTGGTTAGTTGCTTTGATTGTTTTATTGCTCGTTGGATCATCAAACATGGCTTCCGCTCGGATTCCATACCAATCATCCATGACAAGTAAGTGATCTGGTTTCTGATAAACTTTATTCATCTCGAATTCTCGATCTCAAACCAAATTCAAGTTATTTATTTTCTTACTAATGTATATATTCATTGTAAAGATTCATGAATTTCATTTCGAAAAAGGGTGCATGTTCCTTGTAAAGGTTATATATACTGTGAAATTGAATTTTATTTTTCTCATTCATGAATTCACATATTTTCTTCAAGGACGATCATAAAGCTTCCGTATAACTCTCACAATGGTAATTTTAGATATTCAAAAATATTGATGGTTTTTGATGTGTACTATTTGTGTATGTGAAGAAAAAGAAGAAAGGGTTTGGGATAAAATGATGATCAGAGAAATCAAGATTGATGTTGGAGGAAGTAATTCAAGACATGCACGTCAAGGAAATGCACCAAATCCAGGCGCCAAGAGCTAGCGACCGTTGACCACTGCTTATTACTTTCTCGGAAAATTGAGAAGAGTTCCGTATACTGTATATATTCAAATTCGGCTAAACGATATGTGGTTGCTTCCAAGTATCGACATGTATTCATTCCATTTGTTAATTATAAAGATGTCTATGAGTTTTGCTAAATAAACTCTCCTCAAATTTTGTGTCATCACATATAATTCCTTTTCAGAATGAAGAAGTGGTTATACAATTCAAAACTTAAGAAAGATCGAGAGATTAGCAAAGAAAAAAATCAAAGAACAACAAAGATTCTTATAATTATCCTAAAATAATAATACATAACGTCGACGACCAACGCCGTTTCCGGTCATTTACATGCACGTTAAATTAATTTAAACCATAACAAATAAATCAAACTCTCACAAAGAAAAAGCTAAGTTCGGGTCCATTATTCCCTTCAGGACTCAACATATAAAAAGTCTCTGAATCTTTAGACCCAATAACTCTCTCAAAATAAGCTCTCATATACGCCATTTCGCCGTCGGGTCCTTCCGACTCCGAGTTTCCCGGCAAAACTCCGGCTCCCATAGAAACCGGACGTAACAACTCCATCACGTTAAGATCTTCTTCGGTCGCTTCTCGTTTCACACCATAACCCGTTTTCTCTCCTTTACAATACATTGTCCATAACGGTTCTTCCAAAATATCCGTCTTCTTTTCGGTTTTAGAGTTATTATTATCTGCTCGAGGCTGTTTCTCAGTCTCGAGAGCTATTCTCACCATTCCAGTGCTTAGCTCTTTTTGAAGCGTTGTGGTTTGCATGGCGAGCTCTACGACTAAAGAAGGTAAACATTTAGGGTTTTCTTGAATGGAAAGACTTACTCGGCCTTTACGGTATCCGAACAATGTTCCGGTGATTCTTGACGTGTTGTGATGTGGATCCGGTAAGCCTAAACCGGGATGTATAACCGGGATTTTGCATGCTACGGATGGTGCTGTAAAGATTGGGAAAGAGCGAAACACGGTGCGTAAAACTCTGAAAACGTTTGTTCTGTTTTTCTTCTTTTTTGAAGATGGTGGTTGGAGAAGAAGATGCTGACGTGGCGGCGTGGTTGTGGTCGTCGGAGAAGGTGGAATTGAGGAGGAGGGGGAAGAAGAACTTGTAGCCATTGGATTTGATGATTCTCCCATTAGACGACGATCGTACGGCGAAGAAAGAAAGGAGAAATCTTTCTTCGACGACCGACGACGACTAAAGAACCAACCTTCCTCGTAGAAATCTAGTCTTTTTTTTTCTTTAGCTATCTATTCCTCCTCCTTATTGAATTGATTTTTTTCTCCTACCAATCTTTACCCTTGAATTTGTTTTTGTTTTTCTTTTTTAAGAAAAGTTAATTATGGATTTCAACGGTGGTTAAAACCGAAGCTATATTTGCAAGCAACGAATCGCATTTTTATGTTAATTTTTATTTTTTTTCTAAGCTTGGTTAAATTTAATAAATATATTTATTCAATGAAGGAAATAGTACATCAGGATCCGTGGCGCAATGGTAGCGCGTCTGACTCCAGATCAGAAGGTTGCGTGTTCGATTCACGTCGGGTTCAAAATCCCGAAAAATTTGATCCTTAACTCTTTTTTGCTGTATTTACAGAAACGCCCCAATTGTTTTTCCGCTTCACTGAATGTACCCTCAACTTTTTTTTTGCATCTGTAAAAACCTTATCCGCCATTAAAGGATTAGGAAGAAAAAAAAAAACTCTTCGTCAATGGACTACTTGTTGACATCACCTTCGTCACTGAGATTCTCCGATTTCATCTCTTCCTTTCCCCAAGAAACCGACCACAAATGGCTTCGCTTGTCACTGAATCTCGGCGATGCGAGGAGGTCGACGAAGACGAGGATAACTTGCGGTGCGATTTCGTCAAGGAGGAAACTTGCTGAGAGAGAGAGTGCGGAGAGAGAGAATAGAGTGCTTGTTCGGAGTCTGATGTCGAGGATTAGTGACAGAGAGCCATTGGTGAAGACGCTTGACAAGTACGTGAAGGTCGTAAGATGTGACCATTGTTTCATACTCTTTGAAGAGCTTGGAAAAAGCGATAAGTGGCTACAATGCCTCGAGGTTTTGCTTCATTCTTCTTTCTATGTTCTTGAAGCTTCTGTGTTTGTAAACAGATTGAATTGCTTTTATAATCGTTTTAGCTCAGCGATGGATTTATAGATTGTGTTTGTGGCTATTAATGTTCCAATGACAAGACTGTATCATGAAACCATGTTTTGAATTTGTGTAGTTTTGAATTTCAGCTTCTGGGTCGTTAAAACTTAAAAGATTGGATTTTTATCTGTTTAGCTCAATGGTAGATCCATAAGCTGTGTTTTGTGTTCAATGACAATACTTTAGCATGAAAGCTTCTGTGAGGAGGTGTGTTGGTGCTTTCATGAGAGCATTCTAAACCGTTGTGTTGATTTCTTAATTTGATTTGATTCTTCTATAGGTGTTCAGGTGGATGCAGAAACAGCGGTGGTATATCCCAGATAATGGAGTCTACTCGAAACTGATATCTGTAATGGGCAAAAAGGGTCAAACCCGAATGGCAATGTGGTTGTTTTCCGAGATGAAAAACAGTGGGTGTCGTCCTGACGCTTCTGTTTACAATGCCCTCATAACGGCTCATCTTCATACACGGGATAAGGCAAAAGCTTTAGAGAAAGTTCGTGGATACTTTGACAAAATGAAAGGGATGGAACGGTGTCAACCCAATGTTGTGACTTATAATATCCTGTTGAGGGCTTTTGCTCAATCCGGTAAAGTGGACCAAGTTAATGCTTTGTTTAAGGACATGGATATGAGTCCAGTTTCTCCAGATGTCTACACCTTCAACGGTGTTATGGATGCATATGGGAAAAACGGGATGATTAAGGAGATGGAAGCTGTGCTTACTCGTATGAGGAGTAACGAGTGTAAGCCAGATATCATCACCTTTAATGTGCTTATTGACTCGTATGGTAAGAAGCAAGAGTTTGAGAAGATGGAACAGACTTTCAAGAGTTTAATGCGGTCCAAGGAGAAGCCAACTATGCCTACATTCAATTCAATGATTATAAATTATGGGAAAGCTCGTATGATAGATAAGGCGGAATGGGTTTTCAAGAAGATGAATGATATGAACTACATGCCAAGTTTTATCACATATGAGTGCATGATCATGATGTACGGTTACTGTGGCTCTGTTTCCAGAGCTAGGGAAATATTTGAGGAGGTTGTTGAATCTGAGAGGGTGTTGAAGGCGTCAACACTCAATGCCATGCTTGAAGTTTACTGTCGTAATGGCCTTTACATGGAAGCAGATAAGCTTTTCCATAACGCAAGTGCTTTTCGGGTTCATCCAGATGCATCGACGTATAAGTTTCTATATAAGGCATACACCAAGGCAGATATGAAGGAGCATGTCCAGATATTGATGAAGAAAATGGAGAAAGATGGAATTGTACCTAATAAGAGGTTCTTCTTGGAAGCCCTTGAAGTTTTTGGGTCAAGACTACCTGGTTCGGATTCTGAAAACAGGAAATCAACTCGTTCGAGCAGGCCACGAGACAGTCCTAGGGACGTGGTGGAAAACAATTGACTGAATTCCAAGATAAAGATGTAACAAACTGAACAAACTCTTTGCTGAATGTGAATCTGATTGCACTGCACCCCCAGTGAGTTATCCAGTCCTTTCCTGAGTCATGGTTAGTATTCTTCTTTACTTGATACCCATCTCGAACTAAGAATATATGTTGTTATAGAGATGATGACTCTACTGTCATAGCTAGAGTTTCAGTTCGGTTGATTATTATTAAGCTTGAGACTAATTGTCATTTTGTCATACGATTTCAGAATAAGCATGTTTTCAGACCTGTTCAAGATTGCAGAGGAAAACTGCAGAAAGAACTATTTGGAGAACTTGAGTGGACATGATAAAGTTTCCAGGGATGAATCAAGAAAGCTTAGTCAAGACAAGCAGCCACTATTTGCTTCAGATCAAGATAATATGATGATCAAAGAGAAGAAAAAAACTATTCACTAGAGTCTTGTAATCTATTGGTAAATTGTAACTGAAAATAATCATATATATAAACAAAACATCATTGTTGTTGGTATTACCCTAGCATGCTGAAGAACAGACATAACAAACATATCTGGTTTTTGGAACACAAGGTTAAACCATTACAATCCGTAAGTGTCTGAATCTTTGGAGCTTTTCAACTTTTTTCCTCTGCAAAATCAATTAATGCACATAAGAGAAAAATTGTATTCTGGTTGTATCTCATAGGAAGGAGCAAGAACTGAGAAAGACAGTGATCTAGAAACATACCATTTATAGCTCCCATGTTGTGGTCTTTGTAGACCCCCAAAGGAGAGCCATGCACAGAGAGCATCATCTCTCCAGGTTTTGGTAGCCTCCGAGTCTTTGGTGTCATTCCAAAAGAGAGTCTTTGCCCATTCACCTGCAAAATTTACAAGTTTCATTGTAGAGTCTCTGCTTTCTATGCGCAAAATTTATCATTGAAATGCTCATTCTCCAACAGAGAAGGTAATTGATAAATTTTGAAACTATTAACTGATTTCCTTCTCTCTGGATCGAATTACAAACAAAAAGTCGAAGGAAAAAACATGCCAAAGAACCAAACAAAGAACTCTAGAGTAGGTACGAGATAATTACATCAAGACAGAAATCGGGAATAAATACATACCCCAGGAGTCTGAAAAGCATCATGGCTTGCAAGCATTTGGTTCTCAGAAGTCCCCTGAAAGACCTAAAAGGCAGAGGAAAATAGCAAATTAGCGTTTTCTACCGACTGTCCTGAAGTAGTTTTGCATAATTTTGGAAGGCAGAAGACAAATACAAGGTTGACAAAATAAAAACTCAGATTACGGTTTAGTAAAACCTAAACATAACTAAAACAAACAAGTAAAGGCTATACAGTTCACACTACTCAGTTTGGTGAGAGACTGCAAAACTGATTAAAGCAAACGACAAATTCACTAAATGTTCTACAAAAGCTGTATCTAATCATTCAGGTCTGTTCTAGTAGGCATGAGCATCTGCCAGATTCCAGGAACCACCAGAAAAATGGCAGGAAGACAAGATATAAACTTACAAGATTATCGAGCTGTGGGTTATCAGTTCCTAACAGGTTTGCTTTTACTGCAACCAAAGACAAAAAACAAAAGTAAAATTCAAAGTTTAATACCAAATCAAAAGGTCAAATCCTAACAAAAGAACCTAAGTAAGATTACCAACCATCATCAGGTAAATCAAAGCCACCAAGAGATGATCTACTGTATAAATCAGGAAAACGCATCGACAAGCGCTTCAAAATAGAATAATTCATGTCAGCGCCATTCGCATTTCCCGCGAGCGAATCACCACTTTCGTCTTTCCACTTTAACTCAATCTCCCCAGTTTCTTCGTTTCTCGATATTGACAAATCCGGAAGGTTCTCTTTAAAGAAGTCTAACACAGGAGTGTCAAGCTGTTCCTCAGTAAAATTTGAGCGAAGCAACCTCAATGCAGTTAGAGTTTGTTCAATCTCAACATCACGGATTGCTCTAATCGCAGCAATTTGTCTTTCAACTACACAAACGTTACCCCAAACACCAAAATCAGATCATAAAAATCTTAATTTTGTAAGTTGGGTATTGGAATAATTGAGATACCTTCTTCGTCAACGAAGTCTTCTTTCTTCTCTTCTCTTCGAATTCGCTTGTCGTCGTTCTTATCTTCTTCAGTGAGTTTGACACACTCCTTTGCTTTTCGCTTCGGCATTATCGATTTCTTCCGAACGATTAGAGGCTCAATTCCACGAATAGGTTGAAATTTCAAATCATAATCCGGGAAACAAATTTGAAATTCGAGATGAAGCTCGAAACCCTAGAACTGTGAGGAAGATGAAAAATCCCCAAAATCAAAAAAGCTTTTGAAAATATTATTAATTAAATGGGCGGGAATTAAAGCTTAAATGAAATTAAAGAAAGCAGATACTAACGAAATTACGAAAATACACCTAAAGTGGAATACGGCCCATGGGCTCAAATAATATTAGGATCACCAAATAACATTTCTACTACATAAAGGCCGAATTGTGATATTTAAAAATAGCTGTTTCTAATCAATAAGATTTTTTAAAAGGTTGTCGTGACAAAAAAAAGATATTTTTAAAAATACCCGTTATGTTTCTAATAAATTCGATTTTTTAAAAAGGTTGTGGTGACAAAAAATCGAAGTCGACTTTTTCATTTAAAAAAAAAAAAGAACACAAGGCTGACAAGCATGATTAAGATTTAAGACAACGAGCACTAAAGCTTTTACACGACCACTGTACTTTAGATGCTCTTCACGAGTTTGCTTTTTTTTTTTAGTTATTTACTTAAAAAATAACATGCATGAATTGCGATCTTATTAATGAACTAATTTAGGGAGATTCCCCATTTTTCTAATATTAATTGAGTGGTATCGATCTACATCTATAGCCAATTTAGCCATGTGTGTGGGCCAACTTTTATCCGTTGAATAAGTGTTTCAACGTATAATTAAAGACTTTTGAAACTCTATTGACATATAATTAAATGACTTGGCCGCAACGTATACATCATAGTTTCTATCTCATCCTCTACCTTCCATAGAAAACTCAATTGAAACTTTTTGGCAGAGTCTGAACAATCTCTTTGTTGTCGCCAAGAACGAGACGTCCCTATAAATTGTAAGTTGTTTTGTTTGTCTAAATTCAGAAGTCAACGATTGTTCCACCTAACAATCGACTGTTTGATATTTTTATTAACAAGCTTCATGAATATTATTGGAGATTTTCTTGGATGAATTTTTTATTTTCATGTAAGTTATTTCAAGTTTATGAATTTCCCACTCATATTTCGAAGAACTTTGATTTCTTCTCGGGTGGCTTTGGGTCAAAACAAAAGAAATATAAAGTCTCGATCGTTATTATTTGGGGAATCAAATTCAAGTTTTGAGCTTTTTTCGTGTGTGTGGTCAAAGTTTAAGACAGTAACATAAAGTCTTTGGTGGCTTTGAGCTTTTGCCTATACGCGTGAGACTAGTTTAAACGTTTTCAATAGTTGACTAATCTCTATTATTTGGGAAAATTCGAGGATTCTTCAAAATTTATTGTTTATATGAATCTGTTGTTGTTTAAACGTTGAAGATCAATTTTTTTTTGTTTCTCCTCTGTGATTAATCTCTTTGTTTGTTTCTCATCTGTGATTATTCTCTTTGTTTGTTTCCCCATCATTAGTTGCAATGTCGCTGGTTCGAACAGTGACAATCGTTCTTTTTATAATCGCGTTTCTGCAAAACGCTGCGGCTCAGAAAAGACAGCAAAGTATCGTTAAGTCTCGCGGTGCGGTTGCAACGGATGATGGACGGTGTTCTGTAATTGGGATGAGTGTTCTTCGTGAAGGAGGAAACGCGATTGATGCGTCGGTGGCTGCTGCTCTTTGTTTGGGCGTTGTCAGTCCCGCGTCTAGCGGTATAGGCGGTGGAGCGTTTACAGTGGTTAAGATAGCTGGTGGGAAAGAAATAGCTTATGATTCTAGAGAAACCGCTCCTCTAAGCGCCACTGAGGTAACGTGTTTTAGTAATAATGTCTTTCTTACTTTGATCAAATATGCGTTTTCATATATGCGTTTTCGTTGAAGTTTTAGAATCATAGACAATCTTTGTTCTTGTTCTAGATGTAGAACATTGTATAGGGGTAATAGACTAATAGTGTTGCTGAGGTCTCTCAAATAATTATTTCGAACACGATCTTGAGCTTAAACTTTTCCAACGGTTTATCATATTAAAGTGTTTCTTAATTAACATTTATTTTCCTCTAATTAAATACTGTATGGCGTTTGAGCATTTATTTTCCTCTAGTCTATTTATGACAGTCTTGGTTTTTTCTCATGAGATGTTTTTGAATCAAAGGCATTTATTGGTTGTGTATCACTTGATGCAGAATATGTATGGAGGTAATGTTGAGCTAAAGAAGAAAGGAGCCTTATCAGTAGGTGTTCCCGGGGAAGTCGCAGGTCTATTCACGGCCTGGAAACAACACGGGAAGCTACCGTGGAAGCGGTTAGTGAGTCCAGCAGAGAAACTTGCTGAAGGATTCAAGATTTCAAAGTATCTTTATATGCAGATGAACGCGACTAGAAGCGATATCTTAGCAGACAAAGGTCTCTCTGACCTATTTGTTTCAAATGGAGAGCTCAAGAAACCAGGGACGATTTGCCATAACCCAAAATTGGCTTTAACCTTAAGGCTAATTGGAGAGTACGGTCCAAAAGCATTTTACAATGGCACGGTTGGGGTTAACCTAGCGAGAGATATCCTTAAATCTGGAGGGATAATAACTTTGAAAGATCTCCAAAGTTATAGAGTTAAGATTAAAGAACCGTTGGCCGCAGACATTCTTGGATATCGAGTACTTGGTATGCCTCCTCCTTCATCCGGTGGCGCTGCAATGATGCTTGTAAGTTCAGTATTTTTCGTGGCAGTTTCACATTTTCTGAAACCTGGTTTACTAAATACTTATACGGAGTTTCTTGTGTTGCAGGTTTTGAACATTCTTTCCCAATATGGGATTCCATCAGGTGTTTCAGGCCCTCTCGGTGTTCATCGACTAGTCGAAGCTCTGAAACATGCGTTCGCAGTTAGAATGAACCTAGGGGATCCAGATTTCACTGATGTTACCAAGGTTGTTTCGGATATGTTGTCTCCAAAGTTTGCACAAGACTTGAAGAGAAAGATAAACGACCAAAAAACCTTTGATCCAAAATATTACGGCGGCATGTAAGTTTTAATATTTGTTAAAACCCACAAATTTCTTCTTAAATTCATGATTTATGGATCTTTCTTTCTCCAATTCGTAGGTGGAATCAGATCGACGACCACGGGACAAGTCATTTATCGATCATAGATAGCGAGAGGAATGCAGTTTCAATGACTAGTACAATAAATGGTTACTTTGGGGCATTGATGCTATCTCCGAGCACAGGAATAGTTCTGAACAACGAAATGGACGATTTCTCAATCCCGATGAAATCAAAGGGTAACTTAGATGTTCCACCACCAGCACCAGCTAACTTCATCCGCCCTGGAAAACGACCTTTGTCCTCTATGTCACCCACCATTGTACTCAAGGTAAGGAAGAAAAAACCTATTACTTGTGCTATACGAAACTCTTAATTAGGGATCTAAAAGATCGTTTTCTCCACTTTTGTTTACGTAGGATGGTAAAGTGAAAGCCGCAGTAGGTGCAAGCGGGGGAGCGAATATCATTGCTGGGACAACGGAAGTTTACTTGAATCATTTTTTCCTCAAGATGGATCCTCTTTCTTCCGTCTTAGCTCCAAGAATCTACCATCAGGTTTTTTCCAATTTTTTTTATTTCTTTTACCCAAAACAGAAACTTACCTTGTTCTTTGTTTCGTAACTAAAATTTGCTATTGGTAATGTCATTTTCAGCTGATACCAAACAGAGTATCGTATGAGAATTGGACCACGGTATTCAAAGATCATTTCGAGATTCCTAAAGCGACAAGAGTTGTGTTGGAGAAGAAAGGTCATGTCCTATCGCCCATCGCCGGAGGGACGATTGCTCAGTTCATAGTTCAAGAATCCGGTGGGAACTCTGCCGGGAGGAGTGAGCTTGTGGCAGTAAGTGATCCTAGAAAAGGAGGGTTCCCTTCAGGATATTGAGATCGGGATTAATTAATTTTTTTTTCATTGTTTATTGGCTTATTTTACCGAATATATATCAAATTTTTATTTTATTTTTAAAGTTTAAATCTCACAATCAAAACTCGTTGCCAACCATATGAAATAATTTATTTGGCCCAATGAGTGTGTCGATGTATGCCTCCTACATGCAGTGGCTAACAAAAACAAATTTCATTGGGGATGATCCATATTTACAAATATAAACATATTTCATTATTTGAAAAAAATGAAAAAAAGTAAAGCATTTTAAGAAGCAACCAGAATGATTAAGCATAAATTTCAGAATTAATAAAATGGGATATATATAAAGATTATATTTTGTATACAGCTAAGCTAAATTAAGTTAGATTATCTTAGTTAATTGATGTAAATTAAGTAATTAACTACCAAAAATGAGACACTACCAAAAAAAACAAGCATTAAGAGATCAATTTTATTGCCACCTATAGATTTTTTTAGATCTTTCACAATTTATACAAGATTAAATCAATTCTTCCCTTCTTTTCTTTTTTAAGATTTCCTTAAAATAAGCATAGATAATTAATTATTATACCTTTAGGTCATATAAAGAACATTTAAAACATTGACCAACAAAAGAAGGAAATTTATTATTAAAGAGTTACAACTTTGGAATGAAGGGTTTTACATTCAAAATTTACCTTCATTTTGGAAAGGGTTTGACATTGATAATTTACCTTCCATGAAAAGCTCAGATGAGAGTTTGACCACAGGTCTTATTAATACTCGTCTGAACATACTCTTGTCCCTAAGGACGAAAGAAGAAGAGACCTTCTGAGAAAGAGATATCCATATGAATTGTAAGTTATTTTATTTTTCTTAAATCCAAAACAAAAAGAAAATCGTCAATATGTTACGTTCTGTGATTAATCACTGGTTTGATTCTCTATTGATACTAGCAATGCTGCTTGTTCGTACTGCGACGGTCGCTCTTCTTCTAATCGCGTTTCTGCAAAACGCTAATGCTGAGAAAAATCAGCAAAGTATTGTTGCGTATCACGGTGCGGTTGCCACGGACGATGGGCGGTGTTCTGAAATCGGGACGACTGTTCTTCGTCAAGGAGGAAACGCGATTGATGCGTCGGTGGCTGCTGCTCTTTGTTTGGGCGTTGTCAGTCCCGCGTCTAGCGGTATAGGCGGTGGAGCGTTTATAGTAATCAAACTCGCTAATGGCGAAGAAATAGCTTATGATTCTAGAGAAACCGCTCCTCTAAGCGCCTCTGAGGTAACACGTTTTAGTAATAATGTCTTTCTTTTTACACTTATCAAAATGTGCATTTTGGATAAACATTTTTGAGTCATGGACAGTGTTTGTGCTTGCTCTTGGTGTATATAAGAACATCTGTAGTTTTTGAATCACTGAATGTTTCTCTTGATGTAGAATATGTATGGTGGTAATCCTGAGCGAAAGAAGAAAGGAGCCTTATCAGTAGCCGTTCCGGGGGAAGTCGCGGGTCTATTCACGGCTTGGACAAAACACGGAAAGTTACCATGGAAGCAGTTAGTGGAACCCGCAGAGAAACTTGCAGCTGAAGGTTTCGAGATTTCAAAATATCTCTATATGCAGATGAACGCGACTAGAAGCGATATCTTAGCAGACAAAGGTCTCTCTGAGCTTTTTGTTTCAAATGGAGAGCTCAAGAAACCAGGGATGATTTGCCAGAACCCGAAATTGGCTTTTACACTAAGCCAAATCGCTGAATACGGTCCAAAAGCGTTTTACAATGGCACGGTTGGGGCTAACCTAGTGAGTGATATACAAAACTCCGGAGGAATAATAACTTTGAAAGATTTGCAGAATTACAACGTTAAGGTTAAAGAACCATTATCTGCGGATATTCTTGGATACCGATTACTCGGCATGCCTCCTCCTTCATCTGGTGGCCCTGCAATGATGCTTGTAAGTAAAGTCTTTTTGTGAAAATTTCACATTTCATCAAACCTAGGTTTATCTTTTGGAGTTTCTCTTGTGTTGCAGATTTTGAACATTCTTGCTCAATATGGTATTCCATATGGTGTTCACGGCGCCCTCGGTGTTCATCGACTAGTTGAGGCTCTCAAACATGCATTCGCGGTAAGAATGAACCTCGGGGATCCAGATTTCGTCCCTGATGTTACCAAGGTTGTTTCAGATATGTTGTCTCCAAAGTTTGCGCAAGACTTGAAGAGCAAGATAAACGATGAGAAGACCTTTGGTCCAAAATCTTACGGTGGCAAGTAAGCTTTTTCAATTTGTTAAAGACCGCAAATATTTTTCTTCGATTCTGTATTTATCATTTCTCCTATTCGTAGATGGAATCAGATCAAGGATCATGGGACGAGCCATTTATCGATAATAGATTCGGAGAGAAATGCTGTTTCAATGACTACTACAATCAACGGATACTTTGGGGCAATAATGCTGTCTCCGAGCACTGGAATTGTTCTAAACAACGAAATGGACGATTTCTCGATCCCAATGAAATCCGGAGGTGGCCCAGATGTGCCGCCACCGGCACCAGCTAACTTCATCCGTCCGGGGAAACGACCTTTGTCCTCTATGACTCCCACCATTGTACTCAAGGCAAGAAAAAAAAACCCTAATTCTTGTGTTACAAGGAACTCTGAATTTGGGTTCTAAACGATAATTTTTTCTGTGTTGGTTTACACAGGACGGTAAAGTGAAAGCAGCACTGGGTGCGAGCGGAGGAATGTACATCATCGCCGGTACAACAGAAGTTTACTTGAATCATTTCTTCCTCAACATGGATCCTCTCTCTTCCGTTGTTGCTCCAAGAATCTACCACCAGGTTTTTGCTCTCTCTTTTTTTTTTCCTTTTATACCCAAGATAGAAACTTTCTTGTTTTTTGGTCATAACAAGATTTTATTTTTGTAACTTCATAAATGCAGCTGATACCGAACAAAGCTTCGTATGAGAATTGGACGACAGTGTATAATGACCATTTTGAGATTCCTGAAGAGACAAGACTTGTGTTGGAGAAGAAAGGTCATGTCCTAATGCCGATTGCCGGAGGGACGATTTCTCAGTTCATAGTTGAAGAATCCGATGGAAGCTCCGGTGGAATGAGTAAGCTTGTGGCGGTCAGTGATCCAAGGAAAGGAGGGTTCCCTTCAGGATATTGAAATTTGGATTTGACTTTGTTTTCCATTATATATAATCATCGAACTTGTGATGACTATTAACCTTTTATTCGATGAATAAAAAAAACAATAATAATTTTTTTTCTGCGATAATATTATTGATCCAGAGATTTTTCTTTAATCATAACAGTTGTTATGGAGAATATTGGAATTAAATTAGTAACGTTATGCTCTTGCATTAGTGGGGGCCGTCGATGACGAATAAAAGACAAAATAAGATCTTAATTAAATGCGTTAGTTGTTATGGACGACAGCTCTATTAAGCATGACTTGATGATTGTGTACGTTGCCTTTCCTCAAGTGATAGTCATGTACACGTCTGACTAACTCTTTCGACTATTTCACTTTATTTTAATAATCAAAACAAAACATAAAGGTTATTGTTAAAAGATGAACAAAAAACATTATGATCAATTAGTGTTTTTATTTTATTTCAAAAACATATTATCGTAACTAAATTTTAAATTAAAAGATTTGGAGGATAAATACATATCTTGGATACTCCGCCTCTAGTCAGTGACACGTCATTTTTAATTTGCAGAGGATAATCAGCAGAGATTTGTTACTGTGTCACTGTCATTTGCTTAATCAGCAATCTAATTCACATGGAATCTTGATGGGGTTAGGAATCTTTTTCTTAAGAATCATCTTTGACACGTCATCATTTGATTCCTACTTAAACTCTAGTACTAATCTTCTTAAGCACACTATAAATACATAAGTGTGATCTGACAAACTTGACATTATCTTTCTAATAAATGGCGTTACAAAGGCAACTCCTGAAGAGAGCTCTCGATAAAGCTACGAATTCTTCTTCCGGTATCTATCATCGCCGTGAGATTTCTCTCCTCCGCGCTGATTTCTCCACTTCTCCTTCGATTGCTGATGCTCCGCCGCAGATTCCGCCGTTCGATTACCAGCCACGGCCGTATAAAGGTCCTTCCGCCGATGAAGTTTTTCAGAAACGGAAGAAGTTTCTCGGACCTTCTCTTTTCCACTTCTACCAAAAGCCTGTACGTCCGTTTATGTTTTCGCTTTCTCAGTTCTGCTGAAATCGAATTCAAATTTTGTTATGTTGGTTTTTGGCGATCGCGATTTATCAGTACTCAATCAAGGATTTCGAATTTCTATTTGGGGTTTTCGATTCATAAGCTCCCGATTGTAGCATAAATTGTTAGGGTTCTGCTTGTTCTAATCGTAGAAATCCAAAAGACGATTTGAGGAATTTAAAAATCTCCAGATATAGAAGCCATTGACATTTGGATCTGATAATACTGAGTCAGTCTTCCTGTTATCTTGCAGCTTAACATTGTTGAAGGGAAGATGCAGTACTTGTTTGATGAGAGTGGTAGGCGATATCTGGATGCGTTTGCTGGGATAGTCACTGTCTCGTGCGGTCACTGCCATCCGGAGATTCTAAATGCTATTGTGGAACAGAGCAAGCTTCTTCAGCACGCGACGACCATATACCTGCATCATGCCATAGGCGATTTCGCTGAAGCATTAGCTGCTAAGATGCCTGGAAATCTAAAGGTACTTGAGATTTAAAGAAAGAAGTCTGAAGCAACTTGAGAACTATGATGTAGTTAGGTTTCTGTTGTTGGTTTATCGAGGAGTCAGTAAGGTTCACGATTTGGATGCAGGTTGTGTACTTTGTGAATTCTGGTTCAGAAGCTAATGAGCTAGCAATGATGATGGCTAGGCTTTACACTGGTAGCCTTGAGATGATTTCCTTGAGAAATGCTTATCATGGTGGGAGTTCTAATACCATTGGACTAACAGCTCTTAACACATGGAAGTACCCATTACCACAGGTTTGTCCCAAAACTTATTTTAACGAAAAATCGAATTGCTTTCTTTTCAAGTTGAGATATTTTTGCCTCTCTGCGCTTGAGTGACCATATAGTTTTCTGAAATTTCAAGCCGATTCTTTTACTTCACCTTTACCAACGTTTTAGACCCATCAGAATCAATGTCTCTGCAATGTAGTTCTCTGCGATAGTGTGTTTGTAATGTGTATTTGCCAATTATGTTATTGTGCAGGGGGAAATCCATCACGTAGTAAATCCAGATCCATACCGTGGAGTATTTGGCTCTGATGGTTCTCTTTATGCTAAAGATGTCAAAGACCACATCGAGTATGGTACCTCTGGAAAAGTAGCTGGATTTATCGCAGAGACCATCCAGGTTTTTGTTTAAACAGACGTGAAATTTAGTGATTTACCACTCTCTTGAGCATAATCGTCACAATGCCATTATCATTTTTACTTCAGGGGGTCGGAGGAGCTGTAGAATTGGCTCCTGGTTACTTAAAGTCGGTTTATGAAATTGTTCGCAACGCTGGTGGTGTATGCATTGCCGATGAAGTCCAAACTGGATTTGGGCGAACAGGAAGTCATTATTGGGGTTTCCAGACTCAAGATGTGGTTCCTGACATAGTCACAATGGCAAAGGTTTGTCAAAAGAAGTTGTTACCATTTTTACTCTGTTCTTACCATTTGCTCTGTTCTCCAATCTTTGACTACATTTACTGTTATATATTTAAACAAACAGGTGTAGTTTACTAATAATTGGCACCTGTTATATACACAGGGAATTGGAAATGGATTGCCATTAGGAGCTGTGGTGACTACACCAGAAATCGCGAGTGTTTTAGCCAGCAAGATTCTGTTCAACACATTTGGTGGAAACCCGGTTTGTTCAGCTGGTGGACTTGCTGTTCTAAACGTTATTGACAAGGAGAAACGCCAAGAACATTGTGCTGAAGTTGGTTCACACCTTATTCAACGTTTGAAAGATCTGCAGAAAAGACATGATAGTAAGTACCAAACAATCTTTGAGCTTTTCTTAATCAGATGGTTACTCTGTTTTTACTTACCTGCAACCGTGTCTGTTTGGTTTCAGTCATTGGAGATGTGAGAGGAAGAGGACTAATGGTTGGGATCGAGCTTGTGAGTGACCGGAAAGACAAGACACCAGCCAAGGCTGAAACAGCTGTCTTGTTTGAGCAACTTAGAGGTAAACAACATTAAAGCCAAATGCATCGATTTTACAGGCATCAGTTGGTTAACGAAAATGTTTTGCTCCTTTCTCTTAATGAAGAACTTGGCATTCTCGTTGGAAAAGGAGGACTTCATGGGAACGTTTTCAGGATAAAGCCACCAATGTGTTTCACTAAAGATGATGCAGGTAAATTCGTATTTTGCTTAAAATTATGAAGTTTCACTAAAGAACAAAACGAGATTGTATAATATCTATAATGAATTTGTGTGTTTGTGATGTATCCACAGATTTCTTGGTAGATGCACTGGACTATTCCATCTCCAGGTTATGAACAAGGATGAAACAAAGCCAATGAGAGTTTTTAACCGTATGATCCGTTTTAATGTTTCCGCATCTTTGTAACGAACAAGGATAAAATTTATTTATTTCCCAGTGTTGTTAGTTCTCAGTCCGTTTTCCTTTCTGTTTTTTAGATGAATAAATCCAAAACCAATTGCATAAATATAGGTGCAAAATGTTGGTTAAGGTGAATAAATCCGTAACCAACAATAGAAGGAAAAATAGATAAATTGAAGAGCTCTTGAGAAAGGGTTGCTCAGTCTAGGTTTCTTGGGTCATATTGATGCCTATTTGATTCATGGAAATTGTAAGCTCGGTCATGAGTGACATTTAGCTCAAGGTGGTTTTGCATCATTTTAATAAATTAAACTTTTGAGAAAAAATCTAGAAATAACAAACATCGTTTTAATATTTTTTCCAAATAGATTGAAAAGTGTTTTGTTATCTTAAAGACTGTGTCGCAAGTAAGTTTAAATTGTGCGCAATCGTGAGTGTATTTTAGAGCTTATCTCTAAATATCTAGTAGGAACTTTAATCAAGTGCAAAATGAGTTCTAGTAACTAGTTAATGCTAACCTTATGGCTCAGCCACCATTGGATCTGAAGCAAAGCAAAGAGTTGGTCCTACTGGTGACCACACATCTCTTTCCAAAATTCCATAAACAAACTTCCTTCTTCTCTTCTTTTTTGGTATCAATTCATACAAAAAATCAAATTAATTTAATTCAAAGAATATCGATTTTATCAAATATTAATGGTGAAATATTTCAATAAATTTGATTATCTTTACACATTACTTTTATCCTTGAAATATGTTTAGACAATAGATTTCAATTTTTCGAAACATTTAATTTATCGAAATAAATTTATTGAAATTTTTCGAAAAATAATGTGATCTAGTCAGTCTTTCGCACATCTTTAAAACACGAGATGATCATTCGTCATCTTCATCTTCATCTTCAGCAGCGGCAGCTAAGTAAAACTGACTCTGAGCGGCAAGGGTGGCAGCTTGACCACCAGCTAAAATATCAGTATCAGCTCGAATTCTCAAATTCTATTCGTTAGATGTGGCAAGGCGTTGACAAAGTATCACTCGCATAACCGTGAAGCAGATCTGAGGGTGGGTGAGTGGTTCATCACACCAATTGTTGTACTTAATTTAGGGTGTAGTTCGCATATTGTAACCGAAAGCCATTTCCCTTAACTGACGTTCAGAGACCAAGTTGCCGTATTGAATAACATCACGCAGATCAGCTGGCCTCTCAAATTGAAGTTGTGAGTTGGCGAGGCGGAGAGATTTGTGGCCATCATTGCCAACATTTTGACCAACGAACCATCGTTTTCTGGAACAAAAACTAATAAAAATTGTCATTGCTCTCAACCTGATCACCAAGCATGAATCTTCACAACACAACGTCAAGACGTCTTCTACTTGTCCAAGTAAGTATTGGAGATTAATCCCCACGACGAGATTATCTGTTGGCTAGCACCCAAACATTAAATAAGACTAAAATCGTTTTATCATTTTTATTTTTCAAATAGATTAAAGAGTGTTTTGTTATCTTAAAGACTGTGTCGCAAGTGAGTCTGAATTGAGCGCAGTCGTGAGTGTATTTTAGAGCTTAGCTTTAAAGATCTAGTGAGAACTTTAATCAAGTGCAAAATGAGTACTAGTAACTAGTTAATGCTAATCTTTTGGCTCAGCCACCAATGGATCTAGGTACAATTTCTTATATCTAAACTTTTTTTTTCTTTGTTGTGTGTGGTTTAACACGATTCTTTGTTCCAAAACAAAAATTCCATGCTAATATGTCGTTCTCACAAAGCTTCTCAATTCATTTAATTAAAGACCCAACAATTATTAGGACATTTACAGATTTTGCCATTAGTTTAACTTATGTTTATTTTTCCAAATTAAACTATGCTTTTTATTTTACTCAATTAATTAAAACAAATATACAATATGTAAATAAGAAATAAAAGATGGAGTACCAAATATTTTGTGTATATATTAATATAACAAGATATATGTCATAAATCATGATAAACATAAACGTTAATAAATAAATAAAAATTTCATTAATCTTGATAATCATTATCACACTATCGTTTGTCTAATAGTATAAGAATCGAACGCCTATCATCAATACATTAAAATATATTTAATAATCATTTTTTCCCGCACATAGTGCATGTTGTTGTTATCTAGTAGAAGATGATTCACAAAAAAAAAACCTATCATATACAGAGTTGTTGGTATTTTCTTTTAAATAAGAAAATGAGAGTTGGTGAAAAAGAGTTAAACTTTCAAGCCCCAAAAAAATAACCAAAAAGGAGCATGAAACACCTAAACCACACCTAAACCTCCTGAGTCTTTCATCCAAACCTCTTCAGCAAGAAGTCCAAGTCCAGTAGGACCAACTCTTTGCAAGCTTCCCAGAAGCAAAGCAAAGAGTTCCTGTAAGAGACAAAGAAAAAAACGTGTTAAACACACACACACAACAAAGAAAAAAATGTTTAGATATAAGAAACTGTACCTAGACTCATTGGTGGCTGAGAGAATGGCGTCCCAAAATGCTTTGCCAATCCATCTGAGCGTCTCTTGATGTCCATCTCGACTCCCTCTTCATCGCACCACGGAGCGAGAACAAGACGTCTCTTCTTCAACGCTTTGAGGAACTGCGCCCAATCCTCCACCTCTTCCACGCAAGAATCCCTCTTCGTTTTGGCCTTCTTGAAGAGGCTGCCTTGGATATCTTCCAGAATGGCATGGACATCATCGGCCAAACTGTCTCTCGAGACGGATTTCTTACATCCATCGTCGCGTCTAACTAAGACAGCCTAGCAAAGAAAAAAAAAGAAATAAGAAAACTGCTGCTCCACAACCATATCAGGAATTCAAGATATAAGAAAAGCAGCCACTACCGTATTGTTGTCCAACTGTGCAGGTCCAATCTGAATTCTCAGTGGAACTCCTTTCCGCTCCCACAGTGTGTGCCTGGTAGAGAGAGGAATGTTCCGACGTTTCTCCACTTCAACACAGAAGCTAGATCTTTCCAAGATCAAGGCAATATCCTCACAAGCATCATATATTCTTTTGGCATCAACTCCTTGGCAGATCTCTGGAATCACGACAACTTGAACAGGTGCAACTCTAGGAGGGAGCACCAAACCTTTGTCATCTCCATGAATCATAAGCATCAGCCCAATCTGAAACCGAGAAGAAAAACCAAGAAACAGAGTAAGAAGAGAATCTGATCTGGGAAGGTAGAGTAAGAGAGGGATAACAGAAATTCATTTACCGCAGTGGTATTGAGGTCCCAAGATGTCTGCCACACCATTGCCTTCTCTCCATTCTTATCCTCGAACAAGATGTTGAAAGTCTTGGCATAGGTCTGTCCCAAACAGTGGGCTGAAGCACCTTCCACACCATGGCCGGTTTCGGGAATGAAAACCTGAAAAGGAGGATGGATGAGCACTAGCAAGTGTAATTTTCAACAAGGAAGAGAATATTAGGCATATTTCTGTATTACAGATCAATGTGCCTATGAGCAAAGGGGGAGAGAAGATGGTTTACCTGAGCAGAAGTGGAGTATAGTCCACCAACTTGCTTCTCATTTTCGCTCTTCCGGCCTAGAAGAACCGGTACAGCAAGTAATTCTTCGTAGAGGCGGCGATACATTTCCAAGACTTTAAGGAGATCAACGTAGGCCTCTTTCTTAGTGGCAAAGGCACCGTGTCCTTCTTGCCACATGAATTCACGGCACCTGAAATCAGAGAAAGATTTAAGTTAGTGACAGCAAAACGAAAAAGGGAAACGAAAAAGGGAAAAGAAGTTTTGGTGATACCTGAGAAACGGAGTCGGGTTGATGAGCTTATGCCTTGGAGCATTGCACCATTGGTTCAGCTTCAAAGGCAAGTGTGAGGGAAACCTGATCCACTTTCTGAGATACGGATACATTGATTTCTTCAGAACGTCTGCCCAAGAGTCCACCTCTGAGGTGAGTGGGAAGTGGCACTTCTTCACGTTCATATTTTTCATCTCAGCATCAAGAAAGCTCTGCAAATAAAGTAGACAGAACAGTTAGGCTTAAGAGACAGACAAAGATAGAAAACATACAGAGAATACAAAGGGTTGGTTTAAGCCCACCAATGCAGAGGTATCAAACAAGAAAAAAAGTAGACGCAAAGCGTTAGGCTCAAGTGACAAATAGTGATAGAAAAAGACAGGAGATGGGAAGGGGTTTAGCCTAACAATGCAGAAATATCAAACAAGACCTGTTAGGCGCACGATAGATACAGAGATTACAAAAGTCAAGAGAGGCAGAGAGATAACACAGGAACAGTGCTTCCAATTAGACATGAGACATGCGTTTAACACACAAACAGTAACAGTTACGCCTCAAGCAGACACAGAGATTAACAAAGACGAGACATACAGAGATTACAAAGGGTTTAGACTCGAGAGACACCAAACAACAGATGGGAACTATACTTCCTACTAGACATGAGACATGCGTTTAAAGCTAGAGCCAAAGAAAACCCAACAAACATCAGAAGCAAATTCCAAACAAATTACGATTTTTCTTTTATTTTACAAACCTTGATTTGATCCCAAATCTGCATTGGGGTGTCGAGTAAAACGTAACTGCCCTCTATCGGGTAATATTCCACTATCCCACCACAGTAACACACCTCTTTGTACCACTCGTCCAACACTTCATCACACTCATCCAACGGTAGAACACTGGTCTTCGGCTTCATCGTGCTGCTCTTGTCGACTGCGTTTTTTTCACTCTCCTTATCCTCTTTTAACCTTTTCTTTCTAAAAGAGCCGCAAAACCCTAATACTCCCAAATCTCGCCGACCCTCATTCTCTCTAAATGGGCCATCTATCTGGCCCTCCCAACCTTACCCCACTGCCCGCTTTCTTTCTAGACTTCTTTGTACATCTTTATTTGTTACACAAGCTGAAACCGAATCTAACCTAATCATCTTTTTTTTTTTTTTTTTTGGTAAAAAACCTAATCATCTTTTTCTTTGAAACTACCTAACTTCAACGAAGAGAACTGCAAATTCACTATAACGCAATGCAATCCAAAAGGTTAAAACTTTTCTTCTAGACCTTAGTATTCCTAGCCAGATAAAAACTTTTTTCATCTAAACCTAAGTTGAGCAATCATCTAAACTACCAAATCCTAACTAAATAAGCAGATCCAGCTTACTTTGCTACCAAGTCACTCATATGCAATAGAATACAATGGAATCTAACGATGAAACTTATTTCGTGTAACCTAAGTAAAATAAGTGTTTACATAAAGAGACACTAGATCGTGACCCGCACCTACGTGTGGGGTGTAATTAAATACATAATTCATTTTTTTAGAAATTGGTTATTAAAATATATTATTTTTTATTTTGTGCATGTGAATAGTACAATATGATATATATATTCAAGCATTACCAAATAATTTAAACGTTTGTATTTGTTTCTTGTAAAAAACAATTATTACTACTATATAACAGTTGTAAGAGTTATAATAGAAAAGCTCAATTTATAAAGAAACAGACTTTCATATAATTGTGTATTTACTATTTGGTAATGCTTGAATCTATAATTTATTTAATCTTAACATAAATTTCTTAAATCCTGCAAAACAATATGTTAATTGACAGGCCCATAACAATATTACGATTAACCTTAGAATGGCCTGAATGTCACATTAATTTAGGCCCAACTGTTATAAATCCTGTTAACATTTACTGTTTTCGATTGGGTTTATCTTATGTATCCAATAATTGATATCAATGTAATAAAGCATAAGATATTTGTTGTTAGAAAATTCTGTGTCTTTTTACCAAAAAACAAATACTAAGCACCGAACAAAAAGATGAAAAAAAAAAAAACCACCGAACAAAACAAAGAAAATCGATCGAATTCGAGATTCAATGCGAAATTGTGATAGAATTATCAGTACTGCGTCTCCTTCTGTACTTGTACTTGTGAAATCCTTGAATCATATGAAGAGGTAAGCTTTATACTGAAACAGATGTATAATTGTTCAGTTTTTGTTTATATGGCGATTCAATTTGCAATCTTTTAAATTTCAGTTTAAATTGTATAGATTCGCAACGGATTGTCAAGAAGCCGGTTGTTTTATGGGTAAGGCTTCTAATTGTCAATTGATTATCAAAAATAGGTTTTCAATTACTTTTTAAAGTAAGACGAATTTGATTTACATTAACTTTAAATCTTTATATAGAGAAGGAAATAAAACAGTTAATCTCCATTATACTGGTCTATTGTTAGTTTGAAATCTGCAAATTTAGTATATTTTGTATATACTGTGAACTTAGCATTGTTTTGTGTCGTTTTAGGTGCAGGGTGAATTTCGGGTATAATAGACCATGGAGGAGACTAATTGATTTTGTCATTGTAACTATTCTGAAATGTATATGTAAAAGGTATGTGAAATTTGCAGATTTACATATTGTTATTGCGTTAAAATTAAGTTACTTATGTTGTATAGCTCATTGTTTTGTGCTAGTATATCTAACTGCAATGAGCTACAGAGATTTTGTCATTGTAGCTATTTAGAAATATATATGTTAAAGGTTAATGAGATCCCAATTTAGTGTTACCTACTGTTATTGAGCTTAAGTTTACTTAGTTCATATGAGCCTTTAAAAAGTCAATTATGTTAATAACAAAATTCAATGTTTTTAATGTGAAGCATCCTTTGCAAGATGAATTATATGATGGAGACGGGAAGAGATATATAGTCACTGGAGATGTCCAGCGATCGATATATATCAGGTTAGTGACCTCTTTTTTTTACACTGTTGAGTATATTAATATTCATCTTCAAATGTTTAGTTGAAAGTAGTATATAATAGATTAAAGTAATTATGTACATAGATTAACCTGAAACTTTTTTCTCTGTCAAAGTAATTTTGTTCAAAATATAAGGTCTGAAATTGTGGAGAAAGGAATACTGATTAAAATAACAATTAGTTCGAGAATTTATTAAGTAGATTCAATGTATGCAATAAAAAGAAAAACCATTTCTTCTCTTCAAGATGATTTGGTTGACTCTCTCGTCTTCTGACTCTGGTATGTCCCATGTTTTAACTGTAAAGAATATAATAGTAATATAGTTATAGTATAACTGAAATTCTTATGAACCCAAAATAACCCACAGAGGTAATATTTATTGTTACCTCTTACACAAACCGCAAAACCTTAAAAGGTTTTGAAACACTTCTTTGAATACCACATTGATCGTTTGCTTCTATGGTTGTCTTTGTCCAGTATGAGCACCGTTAGGTAAATAGACCCCAACTTTATCCAAAGATTGTCCCTGACTTTTGTTGCTGCTAATGGGAGTTGTCTCCGATGCATTTTGAAAGGAAGTTTTGTGTCGGATGGAGAAATCAAAAGCCTCGGAATGAAGTCTTTATCTCCAACTTTGTCACCTGTAATAATTACAGCTTCCAATATGAAGTCAGACAATTGCAGCCTCGTACCATTCTTAGGCCTCCTCTAGCATCTGTTTCTAAATAACATAACAGGACAACCAATCTTCAACCTTATACTATGATTTGGCAATAAAAAACCAGTTTGAAATGAATTTTTAATATACATACGTAATCATAAACTCTTGGACAGCATGATAGTCCGGATTGATATCCAGCAAGGACATTTCAAAGGCATTTGAAATAGATCTTTCACCTGTTAAAAGTAACGGGAGTTAGTATAACCATAGAAGAATATAAGCTCAATAGTAGTCTAAAATTAACTTAAGTACCTTTAAAGGTATTGATCTTAGCAAGGGTGTGATAGGAAGATTAGCAGCCATTTTTCTTAATGATAAAAGAAGATGAATTTGAAGTAAAGGTGTGAATGATTGTGAGCTTTGAGAGGTGTAAATGTGTTTACTATATATACTTTTAGGCGATACAACTTTCGTTTTTTAGGGTTTACCCTTGTAAGCATCTAAAGATATTTGCGTATCAGAATTTTAAACAGTGGATTATCGAATATTCTTGATTTGGTAGGATTAGAATATTTTGTTAGTTTCAAATTAGGCAAATATAATAACTGATATTAGATCTTATTGAAAACAGTTACTACGAAATTGGATGTGCTCCTTATATTTGGTATTTTCTTTTGCATATTTCTTAAAAACAGTTGAGGGAATATATATTTTTATTCGTTTGTTTGTGTTGGTTGCCTAATCTGCGATTATTTTTTTTTGGTAAGGATTTGCGATTATTACGATAGTGTTAAGTAATTAGATTGGTTAGTTATATAGATTATAGAAATATCTTTAAATATGAACTAAACTTTTTGGCAATTATTTTCTTTAACAGATACGGAGAATAACGGATAAAGTGAAATAATTCGATTTCAACATTTATCAACAACTAAACGGTCTAATTATCTTGTAAGCCCAATAGGTGAAGATTATCTTATAAGGTGAAGATTCATGATGGGCCTAATTATATTGTAAGCCCAATAGGTATTTTCACAGTAATAATCGGGTCAGCGTTGTTTCATAAAAAAGGACCCGAGTATAGGATCCGAGATCCGCGTCCCAACAGAGGAAATTTTACGATTTTACCCTTTTTGAAATGTTTTTTTTTGTCGTTTAATACTGAAATTGTAATGGCATTCTCTTGTAATTTTTTACACTTTTTAAGGTTATTTTTCAGGGAATGCTTCCCAATTAATAGTATAGATTCGATGTTTTCCAAACAATGGATAGTAAAGATCACGTAAAGCTAAAAAAAATGGATAGATTTAACTTAGTATTTATATATAATTTATAGAACCAAAGAAGATTTTGATTTTTTTCTTAAATCAATAACACATGATTTTGTTTGGATATCAAATCCATGAACCAATAAACCTTCTACTATGGAAGGATTACAAAGATTTAATTTAATATTTTTTTTTCCTTCTAAAGACTTTATTAAATTTTTGATATCATTTATTTGTGGATTTAATAATTAATTTAGTAATAGAAAAACACGTGTACAAGATATTTGTTTGACAAATATGATATTCTGAATCTCAATTTGATTTTTTTTTTACTTAGATCTTATTTCTTTCACCAAAATAAGTGATTTTTTTTTTTACTTAGATCTTATTTCTTTCACCAAAATAAGTACAAGCATTTATAGCCATTAATTATTCTTTGCATAGTTAAAAATCCCATAATAAATTAACGGTGGACCCGTAAATATTGCGAAAAGTCATACACGTTCCAAAACAAAAAGTCGCAAGTCTACGTTTCCCATTCTTCCAGAATCACAACACGTCTCCTCCCATTTCTTCGTAAATACGTTTCTCCTCTCTGACCCATCACAATCACAATCAACAAAATTCAGAGTTTTCAACAAAATTCAGCAATCGTGGCGAAGCTATATAAGCAAGAGGAGGAGAGACACAAAGCAATGGAAGAAGAAGAAGAAGAAGATCAGGAAGAAGAAGACATGTTCGAAGACGCCGTGTGTACCACGCCAGCCAGAGTCAACACGCCTTTGTCCGTAATCACAGAGGCCTTCGAAGATCTTGCGGATCTTCTGAAACCGCAACGATCTGATGAGATCGAAGAAGACGAAGACGGATTAAGGCTTGATGATTTCTGCAGTGCGTGTACTCATGTCTCTGTTCTCTTCAATTGTCTTGGATTCGCTTTCAAATTTGCGGAAATGGAGTACATCGCTAAGGTTAAGGATTTGGTGGAAGCGTCGAAAACGTTCGACACGTTACAGAACATTCTTGATCTAGATGTGGAGAAAGAAACTGTTAAAACACCGGGAAGCCATTCGCGTAACCTAAGACGTGTTAGACAAGGTTTAGATCTGATCCGAGCCATCTTTGAACAATTCTTGATCGCTGATGACTATTCCTTGAAAGACGCTGCGACCACGGCTTACACCGAAGTGTGCGCACCGTTCCATACGTGGGCCGTTAGAACCGCGGTTTACGCCGGAATGTATACACTTCCGACGAGGGATCAACTTCTCTTACGGCTCAATGAAACTGATCAATCGGTTGAGAAGAACATGAGGAGGTACATGGAAGCATCGCGACCTATCATAGAATATATTGACAAGCTTTACATTGAAAGGAACATTAAACTCGATTGGTAAAATTTGTGTTCTACATTAAGACAAATTAAAAAAAGTTGTCCTTGTAAATTACTATTATTTTTTATTAATTTTTGTTCATATAAATTAAAATTGGAGCTTTTGTCTGAGGCCTCCCCAAGAAATTGTTGCTCACCTTATGTAACGCGTTGAGGAAATCAAAACGTTCTTAAAACGAAAAATGCAAATTTCTCTAGTTTTTAATTACATCAGTTTCTTCGTGATTCTGATTAATCCTCATCTTCATTTTTCAATATCTCGGTTGGTCTTACGTTTATTTATCATAAAATTCTTGAATCCACGACTTCAATATTCTCATTGGTTATGTTATGTGCAACTCAAACGTGTCGTCTAACGGATATTTCTTATTTCGTGTCGTCTAACGGATATTTCTTATTTCATTTAGTTAAATATCAATCCATGTACAACAAAGTCTGGGTAGTGTAGTCGGTTATCACGCTAGTCTCACACACTAGAGGTCCCCGGTTCGAACCCGGGCTCAGACAAATTTTGTTGCGTTTTTTTTTTTAAAATTCACTTCCCGATTTGTACTCGAATATACATTAAAATCATTATCACAAAGAGTTATCCCAAATGTCAAGGTCAACTATTAATGTTGTTTTATATGCATGTTTATAAAACTTTTAATTGAGTAACTAGTACCTTATAACCTTTGCTTGATTTTGAATTTGGTCTGAATGATTTCGGATAAGCATGAAGAGAGGCCAAGAAGAGAAAAAGAAGAATGTGATTAGGTTTATGGATTGGCCTTTAGGGAGAAGTATGAGACAGATTGGCAGATTGCCCCCTAATCACTTGTTATTGGCTCCAAACTAATTAGATTATTGGTAGGAGATAATGTTGGTATAAGCTTTCTAGCACACCCAAATAAAAATATAAGTATTCGTGTGAAAACTATTTACGATGAATTATGAAAAGTCAATCCCATTAATTTGCCATAGACCTTACCTTTAAATTCTTAATTCCAAACATAACAAACAATAACAACAATAGAATAACATATTGATGAGTGAGTTATTTAATGATGTAGATTTCGACAATGGAGTGGCAAGTATTGTCCATTATCAAACATACTAAAGTCGGTCCACTAAATTCCATGTCTCACTCGTTTCTTTAGAACTAATTAAGTAGCGTTAATCTAAGTGGAAATTGAGTCGGTCAATTGCAGTGATAAATTATACCAAATTTAGAAGTATTATGAAAACCCCAAAAAATATGTTGGTGATCAATAGGTGCGTGTGCCTATCCTCAAAGCATCTCAACTTTATTTTTCCTTTACAATAGCGTGGTGCTAATTACAAAAAGTTGGTGCTAATTCTATTAATTTCTCGTAAAGTTGTATGCAGTTTCTTGTTTAATTATAAAATTTTATTATAAATTGTAGTCTCTGACTCGAATATTTGGGGTATGATATATCATTTACACATGAGTGAAATATAATCTAGAGATATCATATTTTAAGCTCTAAAACGTTTCTAATTAACTGCACCAATGATCATTCTAAACGTTAACCCCACCTACTATTTGAATGGAGAAATAATTATTTTCTCTGAAGAAAGAAAGATAATGTTCTTATTTGCATGTTGTAGAATTGGAAGCTATAGTTTATTGGATCAAAGCCCTCTTGTTAGTAACCTTTCTAAGTACTTAAATCTTTGTTCTTCACTTGTTGTGTTTGATCAATGCATTTTTATTGTTATCTACTATAAAGCAACTACATGTTAGTGGTTGAACCATACCAGATATATAAGAAGATATTATGTGCACAAATTTATATAGATACCAAATTTCTAATCATCTTCATATTTGTGTTCTTGTTTAATTTTGACATATACTGTTAATTCTATCATTTCTTCATTTTTTAAGATTTAAATTATCATCATTCCACAGACTACCGTTAAATGAAGATTTATATAGATAACATGGTAACATGTTAATTGTTTTTAGTCTTTTTCTTAGATATATCAATGATAAAATCTAAAATTACAGATTACTTAGCGAACCATGCAAAGAAAAATTAATCATAACTTTATATGGCGAAGATAAGATGTGAATGTATTGGACCATAGTTTACGCCGCCCTTAAAGTGAAAGCCACAAACTAGATAAAACCTCCCCTATAAGTAATTTATATACTTTTATTGAATCACATTTTACATTATTAATACTATGTTCATTTGTGGAAGAACCGACTCCCCATAGTTTAACACATCAAGGCTATAATATCATGAAAACTATATGGACCCATTTCTCATATATAAAAACCAAAAGAGAAAAAATATATTAGAACAAGGGCAATGAAATCGTAGAAACCTCTATAAATAGGCACTCTTCTACAAACTTAACCTTCACTTCGAAACTCTTAACTACATATATAGTATTCTTACAACATTTATTCCGTTAATTAACACTAAAAAAATGTCGTCCATTGGAGCAAGTTACGCACACCTACAAGTCATGCAGAAGAAGCAGAAGGAGAAGATGAAAAAGATAGAAAAAGAGAGAAACTTCGGCCACGATGAAACTCATAGCCGTGATGTCGAAACCCCTTTTGCCTCGGGAAGGATTTCTAATAAAATCTATCCTTCTCGTTTATCTTATGAACAAGTAGAGATCATATCGCAAAAGAGAAATTCAAAGTAATGAAATTCTTGAAGAGGTTGTTATTCAAAGACTTTTCCCTCTGAAGTATTTGTCCTTCGTGTTTGCATGTAATTATGTATGTATGTGTGATGTGTCTAAAACGTATCTTGGTCGTGTTTGTAGTTTTGTGAAAGCGTACAACTTGTGGTATGTTAATCAAGTGTTAAAGGTTATTCCATTGACACACGCCTATTTGATTTACAAGTATATTACAAGATTTGTAATTTGGTAATATTGGACTGCTATTACTTTATTTTTGAACCAACAACTGTTCATAGCTCCATGAAAAGGAAAAAAGAAATGGAGAGGAAAAGGTCCAACACACACAGAGCCAAACAACTCTGTTAGTTCATCAAAGGTTCAAGCCAAAGTCTACTAAACATAAGGTCTTCTCATGCGTTCTACATTAAAAATAACAAACCAAACTCAACAAAGTCCTCAACTTTTGTCCGCACTGAGCTAAATTCCTAAGAGCCTGCTACGAAAATAATGACCTGAAATGCCCACAAACCAGCAAGATCACTTGTTATTATTAGCTGCAAGTTTAGCTGCAACTTGCTCCTCTGACAAGGGTAAGTAATATATCCTGGGGATTGCTTTTGTCTTCTTGAAAAGATCATCAAGAGTGACAATGGGAGGTTCTTGTTCCTCAGAGACTAGAGGAGGAGGGGGAGGAAGAGGAAGACGTTCTACAACAGGAGGTGCTTTGGCCAGAGGTGGTGGTGGTGGAAGAGCAGTTGGAGGTGGCCGCGAAAGATTCTGAGGAGCTTGTGGCTGATGCTGAGGCTGAGGAGAAGGTAGAGGAGCTTCCAGTTTTGCTTTTACTTCTTCTGGTCTAACAAATTCAGCTATCAGATGGCGTCCTCCATTAGGTGGCCATTGGAGGTTATACACTGCTTCTCTTGTTGCTGCAGCTTCTTCAACAGAGGGATACTGCAGTCACGTCACAACTAACTCATGTTACACGATATTCTTTGGATATTTAGATAACTGAATTCGAAAGAACACAAACAGAATCGACATTTTTGTAAATGAAAAGGATTAAAGAAGCGGTCTTACTGATACATAGCAATGAGTCTTAATGTGGTCCATCCAGAAACTAGTGACGTTTCCGGTTTTACCCAGGAGCTCCTGAACAGCTTTCAGTGTGAACGGCCTTAGGAAACGATCAATCCTGAGGGAATTTGTAGGCTCCTTTGGAGATGGAGGAACTGCCAATAAATATTGAACACACCTATCAAACAATGCTTTAAGACAATGAATAAGAGATGAAAACATACACAGAAGGGGTGCTGAATTACATACCCACACGTTCCTTGGGTCCATCCTCACTAACCGAAGAGTCAGATCTTGAGAAGTCGCGCTTCAGACCAGTCGACCTTGGTGTTGTAGTGGCTGCACCACTATTAGTGGTCTGTGCTTCAGGAACTTTAATACTTTCAGAGTTCCATCGGCGTTGCCGCTTTGTAGGCTCATTGTTTCCAACAGCTTCTTGATCTACATTGAGGCACAAATAAAGACATTTCAGCATATGTAGCTTGAATTTCAACAGAGATGCTTCAAAAGCCAACAGATAGCCATAAACACAAAGATGAAACAACTATTATTAAACACTAGCAATATATGCCTCACCAACATTACAAGATTAAACACAGAAAATTAATTGATTGATAAAACAAACGAAAATGAGAAGACTTACCATTAGCAGGAAGCTTTCTTTTGTCAGAAGCCACCAGTGGATGACTTTTATTTTCAGGGGTTTTCCCTTTCCCAGCATCCCTATCAGCACGGCTTTCCTCCTTAGAAAGGGTTTCAATTTTCTCACTCTTATCATCAGATGTAATTGACTCAGTTTGCTTTGTCTCTGGCTCATCCTCCATAGACTCATCACCAGAACTTCTATCTAAATTCAACTTTTCTGAGTCGCCTGCATCGATAATATTATTTTCTTTGGTCATATCTGCGTTTGCAGCATTGCTGTCATCTCCACCTCCAACAGATATCTTCTGCTCAAGTGGCTCCTCGACATCCATTGGATGCGATTCGCCAACGACTGTTGATGGCCCTTGGAACTTATTAACATTTTGTTCTAATTTGACATTATCAGCAATTTTGTTATCCTTTAGTTCTATTTTTTCATTATTTGACACAGAATCAGTAGAAATACAATCAGATTTTACCTCAAACCCTGTAACGGGGATGACCTCAGATACCTGGTTGTACATAGCAGATTTTTCAAGCACTGCCTCTGATGGTTGAGCCTTAAGATCCCCACCATCTAACCCACTAAATGGTTCCTTATTCTCAGACTTGTGCTCACTAGACGCCACATCCACAACTGCTGCATCACGTGCAACCACTGAACTATCAAGACCAGCTATGTCTCTAACATCATCAACTTTCTCAACTTCATCACTAGCGAATGGCACCGGGTTAACCTCTGGTTTTGAAAATACTGGGGTTGGTGTTGTCTCAACACCAGCTGAAGCTTCAGTTGTTGTGTTAGCCTGAGTTGGTTCTGGGGTTTTCTCAGCTGCAACAGGAGTTGTCTCAGTGCTAAATGCCGCTTCAACTGGAGTAACAGGAGTGGTTTGATTACGATCTGGTGTAACGTTAACGTCACCTCCAGTAACAGGAAACATATGAGGCTCTTGATTGGCTTTTTCAGCAGCAGCAACAGCAGCACTGTTGATTCTTTCAGACTCTTCTTGCTCAACACGAAGGGCTTCATCAAGACGCCTAACCAATTCCTCCTTCAAGCCTCTTGTTGTTAGTCTCCGTCTTTTAAGCTCTTCTTTCAATTCAGTAACCTTCCACTTATCAATTGGTCGGTTGTCCAAGACTGGAAAAGGCGATGACGACATCTTAGCTTATGAGAGCTTACTCTGAACAAAAATTGAATATAAAATTAGAGAACCCCATCGCAGAGGACAAAAGCAAACCAGACAAATAACAAAGCAACGCAGCAAAATCTATAATTTAAAACAAAGATTAAATCTTTAACAAAACCAATCCAAAAGAGAGAAAATTTAAAGATGACTTACATCAAATAGGCTTGAAACTTCCTCTGATGGGTGAAAGAAGGCTGGAAAAATGTAAAACCCTAAATTCGTAGCATAAGATGAATGACAATTAGAGAGACTTCGAAACACCAGACAATAATCAAAACCCACTACGAAAGATTACAAATTTTTCAAATTTCCGACTAAACTCAATTCATAACACCAGATTTCGAATTCTTAACACAAGAAAGAAAGAAGAAGAACGCAAACCTTAAAAACGAAATCCAGAAACAATGGAACGGAGAGAGAGTGAAGAATTCTAATCGAGATTGAAAGATAAACCGGACATTGGGAAATTTTCTATCCCGTCATTAAAAAAAAAAATTGGGGATTTTGGAAAGAGGAGGCGAATTCTAGGGTTCTTGTTCGTCGATAATGGGAAAAACTCGAGGACCTCAAGAATAGGGGGTTGTATGATAAATACCACCATTTTATTGTGAAATGTCTAAATTACCCTTGTTACTCAAGTACTCTTATACGCCGTCGTTTTAACTCTTTTTGGGGTTTCCAGAGAATACTATTATTTTGCTCACCGGAGGCTCCGAGTCTTCTCCGTCCGTCCGTCGTTAACATTTGTTCGCTCTATCGTTCGGCGTTTTCTTCACCAGAGAAGCGACGCGATAATGCTTCGGAAGTATGTTTCCTGAACCCTAGATGATTAACTCAATCGGGGATTATATTCCCTAGTGATCAAATTTGGATTCTCTTGTTCCATCTCAATCTTGTTGCGTAGCTTTAGGGTCTGATTTTGTTGATTTCTCTGAATTGAGAGCTATTTGTGACTTTGATTAGCTTTGATTTTTTTGTGAATCTCACCGAATGTGATTTATGTTGTTGCTCTTTTGCTTAGGTCGGTTCTCGAGCTGTCTTCTCGTTTGTCAGTAAAGAGATTCCCGAAGAATTTGGGAGCTCAGGTGAGTTATGCATTTAGTTTTGATTCTTAGTTAGCGTCTTGTGAGTACTTTCTTGGTCTGATTGTGTTGTGGTATGTTTTGCATCAGAGGTTTCATTTGAGTTCTTCGAGAAATGCATCTACATCTGGTAAGAATGGTCTTCCTGGAGCGAAACCCGTTGGGAAACCAGATGCCTCAAAGGTTGATCCTCCAAAAGTGACTTCTCCACCTCCTGTGGGGAAACCAAGTGAATCTAAAGGAAATTCTTCAAAAGTGGTTGTAGGAGGTGTTGCGATCGCTGGTGCTTTTCTGGTTGCGTATCAGACTGGGTATTTGGATCAATATCTGGGGAAAGAACAGCAGAAATTAAGCGAGCGAATTCATTCTGATGCTGTTACTGAAAAAGTGGAGGAGGCTCATCATTTGAATGTACCTTCCGGTGTTGAAGATTCTACTGAAAAGGATGGTCAAGTTGAAACGCAACCTGAAGTTACTCATTCTGAAGCTTCTGGGGGAGTGCAGAGTGACATAGAAGTGCAACCCGAGTCTGATCTATCATCTGACCGTTTTACATATATTTCTTCGAACCAAGAGGAGACCACACCTCAAGAAAGTGTCATTGATAGAGCAGAGAGAAACTTGCCTATTTCTGAATCTGAAGATTCGGGAGTTAAGTCGGACATGCCCTCCGAAATTATTTCTGAGGCAGAAAATGTGAAGTTGGAAGCTGTACCCAAACCTGGGGACAGTCCTATTGTTAGTGCCCAGTCTATTTCGGTTCATAGAGAAAGTGAAACGGAATCTGCTACACCAAAGGATCCTTCCGCTGAAAAGGCACCTGAGGTACTAAAATTTCCTTAGCTGAACTTGAAAAAGCGCTACACGTAATGAAAAGAATAGCTTACAGATTTAAAAATCAGAAGCTGAATTTCTCAGTATTCCCTTGTTTCATGCATTTTATGAAAAATTTCTTGGCTCAACATTTTCCTGCATTGCTTGAATTTGAAAGGGGATACATCTATGTAAAGGGATTATACTACATTGTTGGAGTTAAAAGCATTTCTTTGTTTTGTGCAACTTATTATTATCTTGGTTGAAATGGGATATTCATATGGACACTATGTTAACTGTCCTGCATCAAATTCTGATAGACACCGATTTCTTAAGAAGAAGGGATGTAGGGAACTAAAATTAGTTGAATTAGATACCTATTATTCTCTAAGGAGAGCTGGACGTTCTTATGAAGCTTTAGCTGAATTCAAAACCCCTCTTAAATACTTGATTTTTCTATGGCCTATATAAGTTACCTGGGATGAATCTCTAATCAATCATTCTCTTACAGGATGGCATTGAGCGGGAAGTACAAATACCAGGTTCTCTCCTTAAGGAATACAATCTAGAAGGCAGTGATACTGAAAGCACTGGGTCCCCGTCAATAGGGGAGCAACTAACTAAAGAAACTGAGGTTTTAAACTTGATTTTCCTGTCTCTGTTCCTTACGCCAGTGCTTTATATTGATTGATAATTTGCAGAAAGTGTGCTTAATCTGAATAGTTTTGTGAATTAGGGTCTTCCTAACTCAACCGAGGGGCTGAAAGATGGTTACATGACTGAGGATGGAAAGTTGGTACTTGATTTTCTGGCTGCCATTCATGCAGCTGAGAAGCAACAGGCCCATTTAGATGCCCAGGTTTTTGCTGAAGAATTACGAGCCTTGAAGGTTACTTAAAAGACGGAATATGTCATATGAATATTTTTTTTCCGTATTGTCTTTGCTTTATAAGAGGTTTTAACTTACACACCACTGCAATTGTTTTGATTGTACTCAGGAGAAGTATGAAAATGAGTTGAGAGACCTTAGGGCACGTGAGCTAATGCGTATAGAGGAGGCAGCAATATTGGATAAGGTGCTTTTATCTCGTTATCTCTACTTGATTAACTCAGTCCAGGACATATGTCCAGTGGCACTGCTCATATGCATCAGATATTTACTTTATGTTTTACTAATTTTATAAATATGGGCAATTTGATGCGAATTTGTACTGGATATTTGTAAACATCTATCAATCTCGGTTCCATGTTCCTGGGTAGACTCATACAACTATAATTTTTTGTGCCAATGTTGCTTTATTCAGGAGCTAAAAAGAGAAAGAACAAAAGCAGCCGCTGCTATCAAAGCAATCCAGGAGAGAATGGAAGATAAGCTCAAAACTGAAATTGAACAAAAGGTTTGTGTACATTGCAGGAAACTGATGATAAAAGTGTTTGCGACTTAGGAAATAATAACTGACAATTTGTATTTACTGCAGGAAACTGAAGCGCAGTTGGCTTTGAGTAAAGTTGAAGAATTGGCAAAAGCTGAGATGATTTCGGAAATTGCAAAAGAAAAGGCAGCACAAATTGAAAAGATGGCAGAGGCAGATCTTAATGTAAGTAAAGAAAAATGGTGTACTAGAATATTGCACAGACTGTTTTGAGATCATAATTAGGAAGAAGGTGTAGGAACCCAGATGTGCGTTAGTACTAAACCAAAGTTGAAAGCTGTTACTGCAAATAAACTGAAGGAATTGTTTTTAGTAAAGATAGTGAAAGTGAAGTCTCTATTCTAATGGAATCGGTTATGTTTTGCATACTTTGAAGTACTCAAACCCACATTATAACTTTCCACTTACGCAACTTGAGTTAGCTATCACTTTGTAAATAAGCAAAATTCCTGAATGTTTAGCCCTGTCTCTGCATTGTCTTCTAATTTTTGTAGATAAAGGCGCTGAGTATGGCGTTCTATGCGCGCTCCGAAGAGGCTCGTCAAAGTCATTCAGTTCACAAGCTTGCATTGGTAAGAATCGAATGCAAGATTTTTTGTCATGGTTCATGTTAATGTCATGAAACTCTGCTTTTCTATACCACCTACTAAGTTTTATATGTATAAAAATTGTGATTTTGTAGGGTGCACTTGCGCTGGATGATACACTCTCGAAAGGACTGCCAATCCAAAAAGAAATCAATATGCTTCAGACTTATCTTGAAGGGACTCAGAAGGATTCAATCCTAGGCTTGGTATTATCATCTCTTCCAGAAGAAGCACGATCCAATGGAACCGACACAGTGCTGCAATTGAATCAGAAGGTGACCCACACAGAATCAATGTTTTTGGGTATAAAAATTGTTCCAACTTTTTTCTTACTCTCTGGTCGTTATGTTTTCAGTTTGATACCTTGAAAGGAACACTTAGACACTTCAGTCTCATTCCACCTGGTGGCGGAGGAATTTTAGCACATTCCCTAGCACAAGTAGCATCTTGGCTAAAGGTGCGCTAATTACAAAACCAATACTCCGCGCTCAAAAACTCTGAAGTCTAACCGTCATTCTTTGGCTTTTTGTTTTCAACTTAAACAGTTCAAAGAAGTGGATCACTCTAATGGAGGCATCGAATCTGTAATTAAAAAGGTTGATAATTACTTGGCGGAAGGAAAACTAGCAGAAGCAGCAGCAGCACTAGAAGAAGGTGTAAAAGGAAGTAAAGCAGAGGAAATAGTGAGTGATTGGGTGCGACGTGCAAGAAACAGAGCCATTACAGAACAAGCTCTTACGCTTCTCCAATCTTATGCAACTTGTGTCAGCCTCACTTGAATCCGTCCCAGATCTTCCATTGAGGTACATTGCTTTTTTTTTTTTGGAATTCGATACAGAGATTCCTGGAGTAACAATCATTTTGCGAAGTAGAACCAACCCTTTTTTGGTCAAGAGGAAGAATTACGATTCTCTATTCCAATGTTTATGTCTAAATCACAGCTGTTCTCTCTCTCTCTTTCTCTATGATGTTATCTGAGTTAGAATGTTAACAAAAGTTTGAATCAAAAATAAGAATGAATCTCACGAATTTATGATTTTTGTCTACATTGGGATCAGAAGATGTTGATTTGGTGATTGTTGTTGTTGTAGTGATGTGGCATCATATGGTGTATCACTAGGCTTATAATATATCATAGTTTTAAGATATGAAATGATACAGAATGATGCTTGTCGACGGAGAAAACATTTGCTGAGGAAAAACGACGAAACTGTCCAACAAGTAAAATACAAAATCATTCCTATTTAGTCATTCTTTATTTATTTAATCGATTTTCTTACACGCCAATTATTAAAATTGTTTATTGATACTATAGTTTGTAATCTTTTTCTTGAATTTTTGTTTACTTGTGTGTAAATTCGTGAAAGTAGTGATTCAATCCATTTGCAAAATTTGTTGCCTCGTTGTACTTACTACTACTTTGGATTAGCTTCGCTTGTATTCCTACTCTCTCGTTTGCCTTGAATGAGAAGAAAACTTACAATCTTAATTTTAAGTGGTCATTTTTTCTCTTTTAAATAATTATTTAAAAAATACAAATTACAGTATTTTCTAAGGATAAAGAAATCAGAAAAAGATGGTTGATGAATTTTAAAATCGACACCGCATTCACTTTCGGTGAGTTCTCTTTAGTAATTTTGTTATAAATCCTAAATCCAAATTAAGAATCTAAGAAAGATAACACACTAAACCCAATGCAACAAAGGTCTTGCATGTATCTTTTTTTTAATCCATTTAAGGACATATAGATAATTGATACCTTGTCCTGTCCAGTGTCCACATTATAAAGTTTTAAACTCTTCTATGTATAAAGTTTGAACTCTGGTTGTTAAAAAGAAAAACCTTATACTTTGATAATCGGATAAACTCTTATATATAGAATCATGCCAATGATGCCATAGAAATTACAATTAGGAGTTAGGAAATACATTTAAATAAAAATCTAGCGGCTGTGGGAAACTTCTTATCGACGGTCTCTAATAAGAGTGCATAAACTTGTTATTAAATGTACCGAACGTTGAAGGTTTGCTCGACAACTCCAAAACATTTTAAAATTTTGTCAGCTAACTTACCACTAATTATTCGATCGAGTGGAGTCACCTTCATATTCTTTTATATAACTACAATTTATAAAATTTTGTCAACTAACTTACCACTAATTATTCGAGTGGATTCCCTTTCATATTCTTATATACATAACTACAAGTTCTAATTTTTTGTTAGGTAACCATTGGTATTAGTATGAGTTACCGCCAAAAAGTTGAATTTGTGACAAGTTTATTGATAGATGAAAGAAACAATATATTTTTTTTTAAGGAATCTACGTATTTGTATTCGCTGGACGATAATAAACCATACAAATTTAATTTTAGAAGTTCAAATATATTCCTTAGCTTCATTCCAAATAATTATATGGGTATTTCTATATTATTATTGAATTATTACGTAAAATTATGAATACGTGAAGAGAAACAGCTGAGAGGTGAGGTGGCACAACTCCTCCAATCAGGAGACAGCGTCACACGCGTATTCCAATCAGCGCCGTCAGATATCTGCCACGTATACAATTGAACGCTCGAGATCTCTTCCCCATACGTGTGAAGCTGTCTCGTAGTAAGTAAAGTATTATTAACTTTATAACCTCCACGGTTCTCGCTATTTTTATAGGGAAAATCGCATTTTTAACCCTCAAAGTGTAACTGGGAAGCACTTTAAACCTCGAAAGAATTCTACTAACACTATAAACCACCAAGATTGTTTTATTAACACTTTAAACCTCTAAACTAAATTTTCTGTTTGCAAAGCTATAAAAAATGATGGAACAATCAGTTTATGTTTGTTTAATATATATTTGTTTAATTTAATTTAAATTTTAATTAATTTTATTATTTATTACAATTAATAAAAATCTATAAAAACAAAAAAAAAAACTTTATTTTCTTCGTTTATTCACTGTCCGACAATGAAATTTCTTGATAAACCGTTGAAACAGTCTTTTAGACTGATCCATACACATTTTTACTCTCTCAAGTAGATAAATTGGAATCTCATAATACCAACTGAATAAAAAGATGGTGAACACATACAATAAACTGAATAAAAATTTGAAAAATTATGTTCGGACGGTGAATAGTCGAAGATGATAATTATTTTTTACTTTTTTATTTATCGTCAAAATCGTAATAAATAATAAAATTAATTAAAATTTAAATTAAATTAAATAAATATATATTAAACCAACATAAATTGATTGTTCCATCATTTTTTATAGCTTTGCAAACAGAAAAATTAGTTTGGAGGTTTAAAGTGTTAGTAAAACAATCTTGATGGTTTATAGTGTTAGTAGAATTCTTTCGAGGTTTAAAATGCTACCCAGTTACACTTTGAATGTTAAAAACGTGATTTTCCCTATTTTTATATCTCGTCTTTAAATTTTGCTAAATTTGATCATTGGTCCTAATTAATTTAATAATGAACCGACTATTAATTATTCTTTAGATAAATTAGTATGAATTCGCTAATAAATGCATGGCTTCTCACCTTCTTCCTGTCTTCCTTGTGAAGAACAAGATTTAAATAAAAATATCTAAAGTTATTATTCCATGATTTAATTGTATTCACATGGATTCCCTACAAAGCTTACCTTCGTATATATGCTAAGTTAAAATACTTACATATACATATATATATATATATATATATTTGTTCAACAATTGGTTACAAATACATTAAATGATTGAATTTAGTACTCCCTCCGTATTTTAATAAGTGTCGTTTTAGGATTTTTTTTTTTTAAAATTAGATGTCGTTTTCAAATTTCTATGCAAAATTTCTTATTTTTTAATTCTAAAACGACACTTATTAAAATACGGAGGGAGTATGCTTTTAAAGTGTATCCTTTAGTTCCAAACTTTTTCCATCAAATACTTTCTTAACTAAACCACAAGGTCTTTGGCATATATATTGCTTACAGCCTAAGTTCTTAAAGACATCTTTTTCTACATTTTTATAAAGTTGGCCAAATTTAGTTTTGTTTTGTGTCAATTATAAACACAACAACATACTTTTTCTTTCGTACTACCCAAAAGTATTTCTTTTTATTAAAATATCAAATTAAGGCCTATTTAAGTCGAGGCAACCAAGCTAACAACTCATTGCAGACTGAAACCAAAACAAATATCTATACAAACACATAACAAATATTGAGAGACAGAGAGAAAAGAATACCCATTACTAATCTTCTTTATCTGTTAATTTCTTGATTAAAAAAAAAGAAGACACAAGTCAAAGATCAAATCAACAAGATGGGAGTTGGAGGAACGTTGGAGTATATATCAGAGCTAATAGGGAATGGAGGAAGCCATAGTTATGGAAAGAGGAAGAAGAAGAAGCAGTTTCAAACAGTAGAGCTCAAAGTTAGAATGGATTGTGATGGTTGTGTCCTCAAAATCAAAAACTCTCTTTCTTCTCTAAAAGGTAACTAACTTCTTCTTTTATAATCAAAATTCTCGTCCGAATTTGTCTTGTCCCTTATGAGATGTGTTTGCTCACTCCTATCCTATCTAAAACGCATACAGATACATGCATGCATGAACATAAACATAAGTACATAACCATATATATAACAGATTATTAACAGTTAAAATCTTATTTATATATCTTTTAGGAGTGAAAACAGTGGAGATAAACAAGAAGCAACAGAAGGTGACAGTGAGTGGCTATGCGGATGCGAGCAAGGTGCTGAAGAAGGCTAAAGCGACGGGGAAGAAAGCCGAGATATGGCCGTATGTACCGTACAACTTGGTGGCTCAGCCGTACATAGCTCAGGCTTATGATAAGAAAGCACCGCCTGGTTACGTCAGAAAAGTGGACCCAAACGTCACCACCGGGACAATGGCTGTTTACTACGATGACCCTTCTTATACTTCTTTGTTTAGTGATGATAATCCTAACGCTTGCTCCATTATGTAGTTTGTTTAATTAGATAGTTAATAAAGGGATTTATATCCTATGCGGATAATATATGTGTAACAAGGGTTATAAATTTTGGTGTTTGTTGTCTTTTTAGTTCATGATTTTGTCTTCTTTTGCATGTGCTTTTTCTTGGTGTTACAAGTGAATGTTTATTAATGTTAATAAATATCTATTATATTAGCTTAATCAATTGGATATCATAAGTAATCATTGTTTTTTTCTTTCTATCACTGGAAGATATAGTGGAACTAGTTCAATTTTTTTATGCTAGTTACAAACTTACATAACAATAACAAAGAAAGATTATTGTCAGCTTTGGAGTTTGGAGGTCGAAGAATTTAAATGCTCACTTTGCATGGAAGTGATTGAAGAGGAAGAACTTGAAAGCGAACCGAACTATCTTTCTATTCATTTGAATCATCGGTCCAATCGATCGGATCATGGACTTTTTTGAGGGGTTTATTTGGTCAGGCCAATATAACTTTAGTATGAGGCTTTTGCTTTTGGTTTAGGTGTTTTGGGACCCCAATATTCTAACTCTTTTCACCCACTCTCTTTCTCTTTTTACATACATTAGCAAAAGAAACATCCAAAAATGGATAGTAAAGATCACATAAAAGCTTTAAACATGTGTATCATCACTAGAGAACATACACGGGTCATATAATCTTTCTATACATACAACTAGCCACCATACCATTCTTTGAAGGACTTATTTTAGTGATATGATTCTTGCTCTTCAGATGTAAACAAAGTAACATCAGCCTTTAAGAACCTCTGGTGCTCTGTAAATTGAACCCAAAATCAGTTCCTGCTATGTGTTTTTCCTGGAACATCCTATATGAAGTGTCTTATTTATACATACCAAGTAGGGAAGAACCAAAGTTTTACACTTTTTTTGGCCTTAAGATTCATGAGTTGTTGTGAGGGGACCAAAAATAGAGATATGACACCGATGAACAATCACATCGCGCAACTTTATTCTAAACTCTGTACATCTCTGTGACACAGGCTGCATCACTAACCTAGACTGAATCTAACCTAACACACGCTTATACACCTAAGCAAGTACATGATCTTCCAATGTCATAACTCAACAGAAAACAAGAAACAGACTTGTGAGAGAATATGTGTCTTGTTATTCAACAGCAAGCCATCATTGGGTTGAGTTGAAATTATCGATGTTTTTGGTCATAGAAATTATAATAATTGTCATCTGAAGATGGTCAAAAGGAATCACCTGGTGATATACATCATATACATAGTTGTTTCTTCCTTTACCAAACGAAATTGGAGTTGGCTTCATCTTGTGTTACTTCCCGGGTAGATCTCAACAAAGTTGATATCATAGAGCAAAGTTGCATTGCCAGGTATGTTACAGTCACCTGCATAAACCAATACATCAGTTGGTTTATTAGTCAGAGATACATATCTTTCTTAACAACTCTGTCACTCTGTGAGCAAAGATAACATATACAAGTTACAAAGGAATGGTAGGAAGTACCAGAAAAGCATCCTGCAGGCTCTGGTCCATAAGCTAACTTAGGTGGAATCTGAAGTTTACGCTTTCCGCCTGTAAAATAAAACCACACCAATATGTTTTCAGCCTTATAAAGGACATTGAACAAAGGAAATTACAGTTACTTGCCTACTCGCATAGGAGGTACTCCTTCGCCTCCAAGAATCCCCTGGTCTAGACCCCTAATAACCTGATCAATTTTGGACATCAAAAGTTTAGATACAGTTGTTTTGCTCACCCTAATCACAAAGAAAAACATAAGAAACTAACTAACACTTCAACGAAGAGAAGTGTAAATTCACTATATAGCAATCCAAAAGGTCAAAACTTTTCTTCTAGATCATAGTATTCCTGGTCAGATCAAAGCTGCATCACTCGGTTAAACAACCTACTAAATCAGTACATCAAACTACAAGAAGCAAAGCCATCCCATAAAGTCAGAGAGTCCTTTAAACTTTGCTAGCAATGCAATTGAAGACAATGGAATCTAACAAAAAGAAACTCAATGGTTCTTTGTTGTACCTTGCCGACCCCAATTCGCATAGTAAGTGGTCTTGCACGCTTATAGCTACTGTCAAACAATGTTCCATCTGCAAACCTCGCCGTGTAATGGATCTGTGACCAACTCCAAATTCTCAAACTTAGAATCAAAAAGATCACAACTTTGCAAATGTATTGGAAATTTGAATCCAAGAGTGTAGTAAAAGAAGCAAAGTGATGAGTTTTGGTAAAGCCAAAAACCCTAAACAGAGCAAATCGGAAATTAGAGAGATGGATAGATTACATTGACGAGAACGCCACGAGGGGCTTCATCACCAAATCCAACATCGAGATCGCAAAATCCAAGTCCTGATTTTGCGTAGCTGTATTCACAGAGAGGATCTCCTACAGTGGCGTAGTAGTCAATCCTCGTGGCGTATGCGTCCAGAGGCGTCAGAGAGAGAATCGAAGCAGCTAATAACCCTAAACCCACTCCGAAAACGCGTTTCTTTACGGAGAGTTTCGGTTTGCAATCGGAGGAAGAAGAACAGAGACACGAGAAGGATGAGGAAGAAGAAGAAGGGAAGATGGTGGGTCTGAAGGAACGTGTATAAAGAGATTGTGTAAGTGTTAAAGTAGAAATCGCCATTGATTGAGTTTTCTTCTTCTTCTTTGATTATTCGTTTCGTTCTCTGCTTCCTTATCTGCGTGAAGCCAGAGCCTTTGGTCTGAGAGTCTTTCGAGTGTGCAACGGGAAAAAACAACAACAATGGATATGATTGTGGGACCTACTTGTATTTCTAGTATTATTTTCCAACAACGACAAAAAAAAAAAATTGATATGAAAAAGGGTCCAAACACTAAACCTTAATTATTCTTATATTATATTCACATTGAGTCATTGACATTTTACTTCTTATAGGCAATCGAAAAATAATTATTACTAAACCTTAATTATTCTTATATTAGATTCCCGACGAAGTTATTTAGATCTCCACCACATTTTGATATTGGGTATTCATATCCTTTTTGCATCAACTTTAAAAATTTTGGAGCCAATCGGCCACAAAATAGAGAACCCGAATCGAATCATTTGGATAGTAACATAATTAATGGCCATACCTAGTGGTTTATCACTGAACTATGAAACCGAGTATTGGAGGTGTGATCCGTTCATCTGAATGCATAGAAAACCCATCAGTGCGACAATAGCTTGATATCATGGTCCACCATAACCACCAGCAACATAATAAACCATCATCATCAATCATCATTATATATTCCATTTAGATAGAGATACACATATATGCATATTGTGGATATATAGTTATGTAAGTGGTCTGTATCGTATGTGGTGCATTGGTGACTTAAGTGTAACTGGACCATGAACAGAAAAAATCAAAATCATTTGAACTTTTTTTTTTGTAAGAAATCATTTGAACTTTTGTTGTACACATGAACAAGCAAAAGATTTTTCATCAGATATCATGATTTGTTTTACGACCATCATCAAATCTCATTTAGAAAAAGAAGAATTATTTTTTTAAAGAGTTATATTATATGCAGTAGCAAATGACATTTCGTTCTAAAGTGTTAGTAGAAACTGGATCAGATATAAAATAAATTAAGCTGAATAATCTAACGATTAGTTAACGAGAAGAAGAAAAAGGGCTAAGAACTTTGTAGAGGCATCACATTTCAAAGTATTGATCAGCTGGATCTCTTTTACTTGGAATTTTTCTAATTTCAAATATGTTGGTATGGTTAAATAAGAGTAAAATCAATAAAAATTAACATTAAATGGAATTAAGTATCTTTATAGGAACATGACTCTTAATGTAGATGATGTGAAAGAAGACACCAAGAAAGACTAAGCACATGGGAGAACAGTAATTTATCAAATTTGAAATTACCACAACAATTATAAAAAAGTTATATACTACTATTAATTTAAGTCTATAATTATATACTATGGTCCCAAAACTATATTCCAGAATCCGGCGGCCGTGGAAGATTCCCCAAATTTCGCCACCATTCACTCCAATATTTAATAGGAGAAATATTAATCGTACGGATCCCAAAACCACTTACTACTGTATAGAAATTAAAATTTCATATTTGACAAATAATTGTCATAAACATATGATTAAAAGCTATAAATATTATAAAGAAAATATACAAACAAAATCTGATTTAAATGAGATCCATCCACTAACAAATAGTACTTACCAACATGTAGTAATGGAGAAAAAAACTAAGATAAACAAATAAGTAACAAGCATATTAATCATGTATTATATAGCAAATCCTACAAGAAGAAAAAGTAATAAAGTGTTTATACTGGAATAGATAATATAAATGAGTAACTTCATCATTCTATATGTGCTATGTTTAATTTGTTGAATAATCATGTCAAGAGATTAGCTTTGATTTTGGACTACATATGTATTTATGTTCTCTGGTCGGAAGATGAACATAACCAAGTACCGTCATTATTATGATCATGATCGGAACCACCGTAGCTTCCATTATCACCAGTGGTTATGTTCCCCTTAGCTGCCGCCGTTGGCGTAGGAGGATTAGTAGATGGATTCTGCATCATACCAAGACCAAACTGATCGTGATCATTGCTTCTAGGGTTTGAAATATGAGCTTGAAGAAGAGCTTGCAGATTCATATTCTCGAAACCGTTGTTAGGGTTTTGATACTGCTGAATCTGTGATGCGGATAAGAGAGGAGACGTAGAGGTGAGTTTTTGAGCAAACGGTCGTAACAAGAGACTGTTGGTGTTGTACGTGTTTGGCGAAGAAGAAGACAAGCCGAGGAAGGTGTTGAGGCGCGTGGTGTTCACGACGGAGTTGTTGAATAGAGGTGGAGCTGGGATTCCGGTAAACTCTTGAACCATCGCTCGGAAGTTGGAAGTGTCCGTCGTTAGAACCGTCGTTGGTGCTCTTCTTGATGCTCGTGATCTTTTCTTTGTTTTCTTGATTACTCCTATATTGTTAGGAGGAGGGAGTGATGACGTGGATGAGAAAGTTCGGAGGTCGGGTTGGGATATCGGGTCGAGTTGTTGGTTTACGGGTAAGAACGTGTTGTTGCTGTTGTTGAAGTAGTTTGGTGGTATTAGAGAGTTGTTGTTGTTATGGTCGAAATGGAGGAGGTTGAGGTGGTTTTGTTGAGGCGGGGGTAAAGATGACACGTGGTGGTTGTGCTGGTCGAAGAAGGCGGAGATGGATTGATCGGCGGCGCGTGAATCGTACTCTTCTTCTCCTCCTCCGCCACCGCCGCTTGAAGATTGCATGCTACTACTATTACCGGACTCCATCTCCTGACCAAAAAAAAAAGAAAAAAGATTTTGACGAGAGAAAACGTAAGAAATTGATTTAGATGAGAATGGATACTCGAGTTAATTAAGAGAGCTAAATTGTTAAGGAGTTTATGAGATAGGGTATTATGGTAAATAAGACATTTGGTGTGACATGATTTTATAATAATTTTGTTTTGTTTTTGTGTGAAAGGGAGAAAAACAGGGAAGGTGAAATCGCATTAAGTGGTTCCACTACCACCATCCACTATTGTCTACTCTATATAATATATACATGTATCTAAGGTTTGGTTTATATTATATTTATTCGTTTTGGTGATAGTCAAATTCACTTCGATTGTAGATATTTGGTTCGGCTAATGATTTGTTTTGTTTTTCTACCACTGCAGGAATGATATGTCTACAAATCTTATGATGGTATTACTTTACTTTTCCTGATAAATGGTACTTACTTTTCTTCGTGATTTGTGCGTATATTCATATCAAAGTAAATTATGCGATAAAATTTTAGAATAAATTTAATTTCCGTGTGCACAATCATTTATCTTCCTCTCGTTATTCTCTAAAGATAGTAGAATAATTAAAGATATGGGTTGTTCAATTAGAGCATCTCCATCAATGGTGTCTCATTGAGACACTCTATCTTAAAAAAATATTAAAAAATTAAAAAGTAAGAAAGAGAAAGGAGAGAATGTCTCAGAATGTCTCATTTGAGAAACTCTGAGAAACCCACTAAACCACTTGCTTTTCATCTATTGGTTCAATTTTATATTTATGATTAAAAAATAATTATATAACTGAAATTTATTAAAATATTAATATTTTTTTTTGTTTGAGAAACTCAAAGAGTGTCTCACTGCTGGAGATGGTCTTAGTTATCTACTAATTCTTACATAGTGTCATAATTAGGTCAGTTAATTTAGACTAGATTCAATAATTAAAGTGTATCATAAATATTAGATGTCATCATATAGTTCCACCAATCTAATTTTTTTTATTGATTAATTTCTCTTGTCAACTGAGTAATTTCGAAATCACCAATTCAAAAGATGAACAAAGATATGTACTCATTTCTACTTATTGCACCCGATTAATTTGCAAGCAATAATGAGATTAGTTGATATATAAATAACTAGATCATCACCCGTACTAAAGTACGGGTTGAATTTTATTTATTACAAAATTTATATAATATATATTAGAACTAAGTTTTAATATATTATAATAGTAAGTGAAAAAATATTAATTTTTTTGTCAGTCCCTATATACAATATTAGAATAAATATAGAATTTTTTCTATAATACTCAATTATGGATAATTTTTTTTTTAAGATATGAAAACGGAAAATAATTTTATTTTTTAAAAAGTAATATTTTTTGAACAATGAGTTAATTTATGTTAACAACCACAAAATAGGATTGCATATATTTCAGTTAGATCAAAAATTAAAATATCATAAATGAATCGCATATAAAACATAGATTATTTTGAATTAATTAAGAAAATTAGCTATTATTTTGAATTAATTTAGAAATTTCTTTTTTAATTTATAATTCTTTGGTTGTTAAAATATAAATTTGTTTGAGCTAATCTAATTACAGAGTTTGTTTGAGATTTATAATTACGGAATTTACCAATTATTTGCATAATCGAATATGTTATAAACATATATTTAGTACATAATAATACCAAAATCAACCTGTGCGTGGAGTCTATATTTTTATTTTAGAATCTTAATATTTCATTTTAAAATATTGCGTGCACAATCTATTATTCGTTAATTCAAAAATTGCTTGCGGAATCAAATTTTCAAATATTTAGAGGTGTCAAACCATATTTAAATGTTCTACACTATTTTTAAATATTCCAAATTAAAATATTTAATTTTTTTTTGTAGTTTATAAAATTATGAATTTCAAAAAACAAATTATATGAAATTAAATATAACTATTCAAATAGTTATAAGGATCAAAACTCATTTCAGATAATATATTATATTTAACCCGCTACCTATTGTAAATATTTTTAAAAATAATCAAATTAGAGTATTTATAATTTTTAGCTTTTTGAACTATTAAGTATTGACGATATTCTCTAAAAATATCAAGTAAAACTTATTTTAAATGTTGCAAATTAAAATATTTAAATTTTTATTGTAGTATATAAAATTATACATTTCAAAAAATAAATGTATGAAATCGAATATAAATATTCAAATTCTGACCCGTTGCTCAGTCGGAATTTTTGTTGACTTTATTTTTGTGAAAAAAAAATATATTACTCAAGTCTGAATTTTTGACCCGTTTAATTGTTTGCTTTATAGATTAAACAATTTATATGCGTTTTTAAAAATTCAAATCTTGGCATATGCAGAAAAAAAATTACTTTTTTTTATTATGTAGATAATATGATGATTTATTTGTTTCATATTAATATAATCATATTAAGATGAGAGGTGAAGTTTAATGATTAATAACAAATTAATATGGTAAGTTATATATCAAATCTTATATGTTCATTTTGATTGGTCATTTAAAAAAAAAAAATAACAGATTTTCGTTTTATAATTTAATTAAATTAATTAAATAACATAAATTAGTATTTTACTTGTTTATCCTTAATAAATGGAATGAAATTTGTTCTAAATGAAGATTTTTGTAATGGCATTCTTAAGTAAATTTTTACAAAAGGGAAGGTTAGTTAAGGGTATCTTATAAAGTGTACTCCCCAAATAATAGTATAGGATGGTTTGAGTGTATATTTTGATAGATACTAGGTTTGGTCGGAAAATAAGAATCAATCATATAATATATTAATTATCAAGGAAAATTCAAAATTTTATGGGCCCATTAACCAAAATGCCATAACCCTATTTTCACCTTACCCATACGGCTTAATTTTGTTTGGTTACCCACACTCATTTATAAATGTTTGTCTACTTTTATTTTTTCTAAATGATCAAAAAATTTAGTTGAAATGCAAATTAGTATGGAATTTATAATCATTGTATTGCAAATAAGTAAAAGAAACGTGTAGTAAAAACCAATCACTAACTTCGATTAACTATTGTCTATTGGCATCTAGTAAAAGTTGTGAGTACAAATATTTTTAAGAGTGATCGTCAGATTCACCGAATATGTTAGTCTTACAATATCATATCAAACGATTCCATGTACTGATTTTGATATACACACTAACGATATAACTCTATAATCTGGTTACAAAAAAATATGTAGTTTTTTTAAACCTATCAATAGGTTCTGGACATTGCAAAATCTCTATCGATGATCTTTTGAGTCTTAATTTCGGCGATCTCTTGAGCTTTTGTCAACATTTATGGAGTTAACATGTAATAATTAACTAGAACAAATAGAGATTTGCCTTAGTTATCTACTTTATCCTAATTAAGGAGATATCGTTCTAAAAAAAATGAAGGAATGTTTATCAAACACGTGTGAGATGAAAGTGATTGGTTAATTGAATTTGGATTATGGCCGGACACGATCGGATCGGACCAAAGTCGCATAGACTTATATCGTTGGATATGATGAATTTTTTATTTATTTAAATAACATAATAGTTCAAATGATTGAGATATTATTTCAATATATATAGAAACCTCTTTAATGTTGACGCCAAAAGTAAGGATGTAGCATTTCTTTTTTTAAGTACTGGAATAAATATTATTTGATTACAAAAAAAAACTAATGGCATTAATTTAATAATGTGGAGGCACATTTTTAAATCAAAATTTTGCAAGCTGATCTTTAATAACATTTCTGATAGTAGTTTCGAAGTCTACTTAGATTTTTATTTTTAATTTCCTTTATAATTTGATGGATCATCACTCTCTATAATTTGATTACATATGAATCATAAGTTTTTATAATTTTGCTATGTGTAAATTTTGTTTGTATTTCTGAGCTTACTAACAATATTTTGATATTTTCCTTCATTTTATTTACTCCCAAAGAAATAAATGTTTGTATGGGAAAGAGAGATATAAATGGGCCTACGCTTTATGCCCAATATTTACCTAAAACAAGGCTCCATATAGAAAATATTCAAAATAATTAGTATTTGTTATTTTAAGCCCACACACTTTTGAGAAGGAGTCTAAAAACGAAAACGCTGAGAAGAATTAACAATTATTTTTCTTACAAATACAAATATATTTAAATGTGGTGTTTATTATGCCTGGCCATAAATTAATAAAAACTGACAGCAAATATAACCAAATAAAAATGGGAAATTTTACTTATTCTCAATATAAATTTGAATTGTTCTTAATATAGACCAAACTATCAAAAATTTCATAGTCATTAATAAGGAAGTTTTATATAATACATATTTTTCTTGCTCCGTAAGCTGCCAGAGAGAGAGAGTCATAAAGGGTAATATCGTAATCTATCAACTCATCCTGACCGACCAGCCGAGTAAACGACGTGTATGAAACCAGCCTCTCAAATTATCCTTATCAATTCTCACATCACAACATGTAATAATCAGCCACGTCATCAATACACGCTACTCCGAAAAACACGTGATTATTACCCCAATTGTTAATTCCCAATATTAACCCTTCGCTCAATAATATTCGCATCTATTAATACACCTCTCCAGAAAAAAAGAAAAACAAATCGTTCACCGGAAAACCACAAAATGGCTTGCCGCGACATTGTCCTCCCTTTCCTCCTCCTTCTCGCCACCGTCTCCGCCGTAGCTTTCGCCGTAAACTTCCTTAATCTCTAACCACTCTCGATCAGATTTTGACTTTTTGATTTCTGACTTTTTCAATTTCTCTCTGTTTATTTAGGAGGATGATCCAGACTGTGTATACACATTCTATCTCAGAACCGGATCGATCTGGAAAGCCGGAACCGATTCGATCATCAGCGCAAGAGTCTACGATAAGTACGGTGACTACATCGGAATCAAAAACCTTCAAGCTTGGGGTGGATTAATGGGACCTGATTACAATTACTTCGAGAGGGGTAATCTCGACATTTTCAGTGGAAGAGCACCGTGTTTACCTAGTCCGATCTGTGCCTTAAACCTAACCTCTGATGGCTCCGGTGATCACCATGGTTGGTACGCTAATTACGTTGAGGTCACCACGGCTGGTGTTCACGCACAGTGCTCGACGCAGGATTTTGAGATTGAGCAATGGCTCGCTACTGATACTTCTCCTTATGAGCTCACCGCCGTTCGTAACAATTGTCCGGTCAAGCTTAGGGATAGTGTTAGTCGGGTCGGGTCTGAGATCCGGAAGAAGCTTTCTTGGGTCGTTTAAAGAAGTGATGTGATTCGTGAGACTTCTCTGTATTGTTTGTTTCGTCGTCGTCGTCTTGTGAGTGTAATGTGGCGTTAATGATATTATTCCATAAATAAAACTTTTTTAGTTATTTTGCGAATTTTAACCCATGATTAGTGAGTAATTTAGTAGATAATCACAGGTTCATTGAAGCATTTGATTTGTCTCGGTCTTGTGTAAATGTGAACCCAATCAATGAGAAGACTAGGACATGAACACATTGAATATAAAATTGATTGAATGCATTATAGGTGTCGGTATTACTAAGCGGAATAGAAATTTGAGTGGACCAAGTTAATCCCTTGGCCCAAAAATGATGCCACGTTTGTATTTATTGATAACTAACTCTGTGATATTTATATTGTTTATTGTCCACATTGTATCTATAATTTAACACATAATCTTATTGATATTTTATTGTCAAGAAAAAAAGATTTGAGTATTTTAAAGAATGTGATATGCTTTAAGGTTAAATGGTAGTATGTATATTCTTGGACGTCAATTGGTTTTTGTAAACCATATATGATGAAAAAAGGAAACAACTAACAAAAAAAACTTACATTGAAGAATAAAAATTACTATATGCGAAATTTTGGATTTAAAAAACCCAACACATTTTTAGACTATCAATAAGTTTCGACTTTGCTGGATCTACCATCTAGTTTTCATGTTTCAATAATAAAAGAAGGATTAACAAACAAAATCGTCGAAATAAAATTCACCAATTGAAGAACCAATCAAAGAGCATCCTAGTGTTTCTCTCTTTAGTGTTTGGTCAAAATGGGCCATTGTGAAACAGAAGTAACTTCTTTAAGAAGCTCCTGTGAGAGCTCGTCTGGATTATACTCAACCCCAAAGCACCTCACAATCTCCATCTTCGGATTCATCAAGTACCTATACACAAAAACATATCAACATTTTGAACATAACACGATTTGATTTGAGAAGATGAATCCTTACATGTTGTGAGAAGTATCAACGAGATAATCGTCTCCGTCTTCTTGAACCTTCTTGAAGTAGACACGATACTCTTGTGCCATTTGCCTCATTGCACTTGCAGCTCCAGTTAGTCCTAGTATTCTACTATCAAACTCTGCATAAAGACACAAGCAACAAAACGTAAGTGGGTTTAGAAAATTAGCTGGAACACGGAGGCACGAAGTAAAACCGAGACCTTTCAAGTATGCGTGGAGATGAGAAGGTGTGTCTCGTTGAGGGTCAAGAGTGACAAAGACAGGCAGAATCTTCTGGTTATGTTTAGACTCTGTTGTTTCCATCAAGACAAGACATCATTACTAAAAGATCACATTATATTGTGAAAAGATCTGAAACTAATGAAATGGCTGGAGCTTTGTTTAAGTGACTCAACCTAGTTTATCAACTGCTTTGGACATCATCTTCAATTGCTCGGGTCCAACATCCGGGGAAAACGAGTATCCAAAGTAGAGTAGAACCCATTTACCACAAAAGTCATTCTCTGTGACTATCTTGTTTTCTGTGCTCATAAGGGTAAACGGACCTCCGATAATTGGACCTTTGACAGTTGTATTAGAACCGCAGCCACAACCGCTATTGCTGCTTGCTTGACCTGCAAAAGTAGAAGCGCAAAAGATCTCAGCTTTATCAATCCAATGTGTGAAAAACCATCATCAAAGTCAATAATACCTCTAGGAACTGCTCTCCTTTCGTCGTTGTAATGAAGAAAGGTGATGAATCCGGCAAAACCAAGTACAATTGCTGGCTGAAAATGCAAACAAAAAAAGGGAACATAACATCGAATTGGTCCCAAATAAAAGAACCAAATCAAGAAACAACTGAAAGCAACTAAGAGTTTTTAGAAACTATACAACAGCATAACGAACACGAGAACGAGAAGAAGCTTGAGTTCCTCCTACTGTAGGAAATAGAGGGTTAACATCTGGAATTTCATGGCCCTGTCTTGTCGATTTACTGTAATTGAATGATTGAATTCGTTTTGATGGTCCAGACCTAAAAATAAAGTTTTGAAATTGAGATCAATCAACGCTAACATTCAATATAATGTTTCAAGATCAAGAATTTCTTCAGTAAAAAACTTCAATTTTGATACTCTAGAAGCTAAACCCAACAAGAAACATTCACATCAGCATCAAAATTCCAACAAAGAGAGAGACTTTTTCGCAGATAAAGTAACAATTGTGCTACTTAATTAAAAAACCAAGAAGGTAAGGAAGATCCCCTAAGCAACTCAAAATTAGGGTTTATGAGGGGTTTAAGAATATGACTAACCTTCGGAGAAAATTGGATGCACCATTTTTGCAGGAAAGAACAAGACGGCGACAAGGAAGCATTGAATTTGGTTCTTCTTCTCTGTTTATTACAGAAATTTTTTCGAAAAAACTTATTCGAGTGAATCGCTTAGACTCATTTTCTGTAAAAACTCCGTACTTTGCTCCTATAGAATCTTTTTTCTTGGTGAAGAGCCAAAACCAAAACAATTTTTTTTTCTTGGTGACCAAGCTCGTTTCTGTGTGTTTTTCTAATGTTTTATTTATTTAATTTTGTGTTATGTAATTAAATTATTTATGGGTTGACTTAATAGTTTTGTACATGAAATATTAGGCTTACCAGGCCTTATAATTGACAAACAAAAACGCATTGGGCTTTAATACATTAATTTGAGTTTTATTGGGCTTTAAACATAACAATTTGAGTATTTTGTGTCGAACTCGAGACTACTCTGCAATGATTTTTACATATCGACGGCCCAATTATGTTTTAACCAAAAAAAAGTGATAATAATAATTAGGGAAACAAAAAAGAAGAAGAAAAACATTTGAGTTGGTAAACGCAAGAAAATTCCGGTCCGAAAGACCAACTGAAGTTACGCAAATCAACCACAGCCACTTACTCTCCCACTCCATGCAAAAACCCTAATTTCCGCATTGCTTCTGTTCTCTTCTCTCGACACTCCCTCCACCACCACACATTTCCTTCTCACCGTTATTCCGATGGAGGGGCCACCGCTACCTCCGACCTCCACCGGCAATGACAATGAAAACAAGACCGGTAATGCTCCTTCTACGTGGCATCGTCCCACCACCAGCCTCCCCCAACTCCCTTCACCTGGTCCCCAAGTTTCTTCACCTCCACAACATTTACGTAATCATTCTTTGAATCTCTCCCCACACTTATCTTCTTCTTCTCCTCCTCCTCCTCCTCCTCCTGATCCAATCCCAGCGATCGAGACCTACGTAGTGCAGGTTCCGAGGGATCAGGTCTACTGGACACCTCCCCCGGATAATGCAAGGATCGTCGAAAGACGCAGAAATGCCGAGCCGGGGATAAATAATAAAAGATTTTGTTCTAAACGATGCATATGGCTATTCATCTCTGTGATCGTCATTGGATTCATCATCTGCGCGATCGCACTAATCGTCGGTTTTGTATTCAAGCCCGAACCTCCGGTTTTCAACGTTAAGAAATTCGAGAAATCTCGCCATTTCGAGATCATGTTGACATCCAAGAACCCAACCTCCACCATGTGGGTGACCTACAAAGGTCTAGTCTCTCTGACGTACAAAAACAAGAATCTAGGCCAAGGGAATTTCCCGGAGCTGTCACTAGCCGTGTCCGGATCCCATACGGTCAACCTAAAGCTAGAAGGGTCCAAGAACGCGGCTCTGCTGCCGCCTGAAGTGGTTAGTTTGGTATTGACGATGGGGCTCAATGCGGGATTCGGCACGGGATTGGTGAAACGGGACAAGGAAGTGGCAGTGACATGTGATATTAAAGTAAAAGGATTATTAGATGCGCAGAAGGTTGAGATTGTGTCGGAGAGTTGTGAGAGTGAGTTCATTAAATAAAACAAATTCACGCTCAAAATATTATATTTGGTCTTTTAGAGGTTAATTAGCGAGCTTTATTACTACTTCTCATGTAAGGGTTTTTCCTCCGAATGTCATATGCTTTTTTTCTTTTGTTTTGACTTTTACATGTTAATGTGTGATACATCAAAGACGTTCAAAATTCCTTTATTAAGATGCTCTGTTTTTGATGTATGAGCTAGATGTTACTTTGTAATCTGTAATTTATTTCCACTCAATTTATTTTACTTAATCTGAGACCAAAATAACATGTTTTAATGTCTATGATCAAACTGGCCTTGGCTTACGGGGTTCTCTTTCGCTGTTTTTTAATTAAACGGGGCTAGTAGATCACATAAATTAAATAAAGGGGTTATTTTTCAATTAACTAAAACAAAAGGTACAAATATGATGACCTAATCGTGTTTAATCTTATTATATAAAGTCCAAAGTCGAAATAAATTCTCCACCGACTCTCGTGTTTAACCCTAATTTCAAAAACGACTTCTGCCGCTATGAGTTCTGAAGAGGAACTACCGCAGAAAAAGAAGCAAAAGAATCTGCCGTGGCTTCCAGATTATATCCCTAGTCTCCAAGTCCTTTCGATCTCTCGTCGTATCCAAAGAGCTCCTCAAGGAGCGATATCGCCTCAAAACGCGAGAATCCTTCTTCCATGTCTGCTTACAGCTTCCTAAGAGTCCTCTTCCAACATGGTTCACCCTCTGGATAAAACCTGATCAAATCTACAAGAAGAAGAAGAATAAGTTTACTCGAAATACTCGGTTGGTACTCGAAGAATAAGTGTTGAATACGACTCGTCGCCGTGGTTTGATTGAGATTGGTAACTACGGTGGAAAACTCTTAATCTTATGGGATAAGTTTGTGCATCCTGGTCAATTTCAGGAAAAAAATATTTGGTGTGCCGTGGTTGCGCTTGAAAGACGTAATGGTAATGGCGATGATTTTGAAATTTGGGGAAACGTTGAGTGGACTAATGTTGTGCTTACGGTTCCCAGTTCATACGTCTTCCTGCGTAGTCTACAGAATGGAGGTTGATCAAATATAAGCATTTTTTTTTTAATTACTGGCAATATCAACAAAAAAAAAAAAAAAAAAAAGACATTTAGCTTCAAAATAACAAGTTTTTGGCGTAGGGGTTCTCTTTGATTGTTAGGGGACAATTAGATATTTAATTAAAATTAAGGGTCAATTTTTCAATATTAAAAAAATTTGAAAGATGTTTATAAGCTGGTTTTGGAAAAGCCCTAATCATGTATAACCCTAATGATCACTTTTTGGGTAGAAACGGCCGCCTCTGCGGCTACGACATCCATAGCCGAACCACCGTCGAAAAAGAGGAAAACGAATCCATCTCCTCCTCCTCTTCCTCCTCCGTCGTTTTTGTCACTCCCAGATGTTCTCATCCTAAACTGCTTATCCCGCATACCGAAATCGTATTACCCTAAACTCTCCATAGTCTCCAAGACATTTCGTGATCTCATCTTATCCATTGATCTTAACCACGCTCGATTTCACCACAAAACACAAGAAACCTTTTTTCATGTCTGCTTAAAGTTTCCCGATCGTCCTCTTCCCTCTTGGTACACACTCTGGATCAAACCTCAAGGATTCGATGACAAGGAGGAGGAGAAGAAGAAGTCTACATTGGTACAAGTACCCTCTTCCTATGCTTCTCATAATCCATTGCTCGTCGTTAGTGTTGATTCAGATGTCTATGCATTCAAACAATGTTATCCTCCCTCACGCGTCATGTATGTTCGTAACAAGGAGGTTGTCTTATGGCGTAATGCCCCCAACATGACTGTAGCTCGTGCGAATCCTGTTGCGTACGTCTTCAATAAGAAAATATACGTAATGGGAGGTTGTGCGGAAAATGAATCTGCAAATTGGGGTGAGGTTTTTGATCCAAAGACTCAAACTTGGGAATCTTTACCTGTCCCTGCCCCTGAGCTTCGCTTCTCTTCAATGATTAGAAAAATAGAGATGATCCAAGGGAAGTTTTACGTCAGGAGCAATGAGAGCAAGGACTCTGTTTATGATCCGAAAAATGGTAAATGGAACGTTGCAGCAAAACCGTTGGTGAGTGATAGTAGGTGTGCGGTAGGTGATGTTTGGTACTCTTTTCGTCCCAACAGTTGCTTGTGGTTTGACAATGAAATTCAAGATTGGAGACTGGTCAAGGGTTTGTCTTCCTTGAATCAAAGTTGTCGTAGTGGTTTGATTGAAACAGTTAGCTACGATGGGAAACTTTTACTCTTGTGGGACAAGCCTACAAAGCCTCGTCGTCGTGTTTGTGAAGAGAAGTATATTTGCTGTGCGTTGATTGCGTTTGAAAAGCGCAAAAATGGTCAAGTTTGGGGTAAGGTTGAGTGGTCTAATGTTGTGCTTACGGTTCCTAGTTCATACCGTTTCTTGCGTTCTACAATGATACGGACTTGATCAATTGTCAACATGTTTCTGCTTGTCCAGAATGGCTTTTAGATGTATTTCTTGAAACACTCCGTTGTTTAAAACAAGTAGTATAATATTTGCTTAAATCATTGATACATTCAAATATTATTATCCCATAGATTATAAGGCTTTGCTTAACATTTACTGAATAGTTTGGCATGAAACTATGGTACATTTATTTTGTGTGTGTGTGTGATCTACATTTCTTCTGAATAGATCTTCGTCTTCTTTTTTGATAAAGCAATCAAACATATCTTGACATAGGAGGATTCTCGTTCTGGTAAAATAGAAGAAGAAGAAGAAGAACAGCAATTTCAATTAAATTTTCAACAACATCAATGAAGAATACAATCAGATATATCACTAAAATTCACTAAAATTCTGCCATGAATTATGACTGTATCTATGAAAAGTTGGTGATATATGCCTAGTTTAAGCCTTCGTCTTGTAATTCAATGAAACTGTATATACGAACTTTGTTATTTTCCCAAACGGGGACGATTTGATATTTCAACTAAATCAAGGGGTTAGTTTTCAATTAAAAAAAGGCCTGTATATATAAAGTGCATTGCTTAGACCTAATCGTGCTCGCTTAGACCTAATCGTGTCGCTTAAGTATGAAGAAGTCCAAAGTAGAACCACCCCAAACAAAATCTCCAAGGTTTGCCAACTCGTGTTCAACCCTAATCTCTTTTAAGAAAACCCTAATCTCTGCCGCAAGCTATGGATTCCGAAGTCGAACCACCGCAGAAAAAGAAGAAACCAAATTCATCTCCGTTGTTTGTGTCCCTTCCTGATGTAATCCTTGTAAACTGTTTAGCCCGCATACCGAAATCGTACTACCCGAAACTCTCCTTAGTCTGCAAGAGCTTCTGCTCTCTCATCTTATCCATGGAGCTCTATGTGGAGCGATTGTACCTTCGAAGACATGAAGACGTCTTTCATGTCTGCTTACAGTTGCCCGATCGTCGTCTTCCCTCATGGTTTAGTCTCTGGACTAAACCGGATCAAACCCTAACCAACGACATCGGAAAGAAGAAAAAGTCTACTAGAAATACTCTGTTGGTACCAATACCTT